CATCACAATCATGTCAATATTAAATGATGATTTCCTTTATCTAAAGAACGAGTGATAAGTCATAAGTCTCACATTTGCTATGAGTTAGGCATGTCTCAACGAAAATGACTATTCTGAAAAAAATTCAATGTTTGTATCGTATTTATTTTTCATGTCGCACTCAGTATTTTCCCCTAGACCCCCAACCACAAATTCTAACCCATGCACTCATTACTGCTTTAATAGAAGACACCACAAATTGTGAACTGATCATGTTGTTGCTCTATATAGTTGCTCTACATGAAGACACCACATTTTGTCAAGACTTATTTATACCTTTATATAGCTAGAAATATCTTAAAAGTTATTCAACTGGCTGCATCAATGGTTATATTGTTTAACCGCAACACTCAGATGTAATCACTAAAAGCCGGAGAAGGAAAACTTTGAGATGAATAGAAGTCGGCCAATGATGCTTGTGGTATGAATGTATTTATCACGAAAACAATGTGCTAAACTAAACATTTTTCCTAGTGATGTTTTTAGTCGGTCCACCGAGACACGGTCCAATAAGTTGCAATGTGTATGAATGATTTAAATTAAAAGTGAGGATAAAAAGCTGCTAAATTCTGCACAAGAAGAACAAAAGAGATCGTAGCCACAAAAATAATCAGATATGGACTGATCATTCTCAAAAGTCTTTTTTTTGAGTTTTCAACTTCCAATCTTATCTTCTTATATACATACTCAGGTTAAATAGTAAAAACAAGATAAAAGGCAAAAACGAAAACAACAATAGTGGCCTTTCATTCTCAGCTTTTTACATGATTAAAGGTATTAGCCAAAGTTGGAAGGAACAAAAGTAAAAAAGAGCTTTTACAGAGAATAAAAATTTCATCTTCTTTTTTCAAAAAGAGTTTTGCAGACATGCATGAGATAATTATTACAGTATGTTCTAATTATCTCCTTAATTAATGAAAATGCTTTTAAACACATATCGCTTCTGTAATCTCATCGTCCAGTGTCTTTAAGACATGGGAATATATCAGATCAGATCAGATCGAATGTCTCTCTAAACAAAAAACAAATGATTATCTCTTATATATAACAAAAACCAGATGTACATATATTTATAAGCTTTGAGACCCTCTGTCTGAAATAGAAGTTCCTAAAAAGACTCTTCAATGCTTCATCTTCTCTTGCTTACTCCATCCAACTGCAAATATACAGATGAATCATTTTAGTCATATAGCTCTAATAAATCATCTAAACATAAAACAACTTAAACAAATAAGAACTTAAGCTTACATGTCAAGGCAGATGAAATCTCAGAGCTTTTAATCACACGCAGTCTCTTCACCGATGAAACGAACATTCTGTGTTTAGAACAAAGATTAAAGATTAGTTAGTATGCAAATAAAGGAATAAACAAAGCTCCGGGCAAAATTCTGTTCTCTATGTAAAGAATAATCAATTTGAATACTACTACTAATAAAAAGCTAAGAAGTTTTGTTGTTATATGATTTTAAGAATCTAATTCTGCAAAACACTGAATCAGATTCAGAGAACAAAAGTGGAAAAGATTCTTACTGCCATGGAACATCCCCGACAAGCATCTTGTCCCCTTCATTGTCTTCATAGGTTAAAGTAAATTCTCCTTTCCCATCTAACAATCCAATTATAGGTTTCTCTTCTCCTTCACCACCAGAGGTATCTCTCTGAGCTATAACCAACAAAGCATAATCAGTAAACACAAGTAACACTCGTAAAGAACTTAAAAAGCAGATTTGAGATTGAGATTTAACCTGCGAGTAGTCCTCTGAAGAGTTTGTCAACGGCGAAAGAGAGCTGTTCATAGCTGTTATAAGCATTGAGATCAACTTTACGACCAATAGGAACACCATCCATATTGATCTTGACAAACATTCCTTCTTTCTTAGGTTCGACTTGCTTTTCACCATCATCACTCTTATTGATTTGACCTCCATGTAAGGAGGATTCGTTACCTAGCTTTGAAGAGCTTGTGCTCGCTAGATTCTTTCTGAACGAACGAACCGGAGGCCAACCCACCACTGGACCAGGAGCAGTTCTTTGAACCATTCATCAAAAGAAACAAAAGACATATGTCAATACCACACGACAAAAACAGAGCAAAACAGAGAAAAGGATGATGAAACTTTTTACATGTGAGGGTAAAAAAAACAAAGATTGCAGAAGATGGGTCCCTAATGTTCAAAGAGAATAATATCCTCTGTCAAAAGCAGTAAGAAAAAATAACAGTGAGGAAAAAAGAAGATTATACCTTTTATGTGAGATGTGAGGAACATAAGTGGTTTTGTTGGAAGAAGAGAAGTGATTGCCATTGAAACAGTGGAAAGATTTGTCTTCTGTTTCCTTCTTGATGTTTCTTGTCTCTGTGTTCTTCTTCTTGATCGCTGAATGATCTTCTTCATCACCACCTGGTGGTCCAAGCCTTAGCTCAAGTTTCTTCTCCTGATCTGTGTTGTTCTTGTCTTCTTGGTACCATTTTCGTCCTTGGGGAATCAAATCAAGAAGTTTTGGACCCATTTCTCTGTTACCCTCCATTGATCAACACAAGATTTCTTCTCTCCGTTAACTATGTATAAAATTGAAATCTATAGCTTCACCAAACCCTAAGAAACCCTTTTAAGTAAAAGACCTGAGAAAACCCCTAAAAAGAAACAATCCCACAAAACTGAGAGCGAGAGAGATAGAAAGAGAGATGTGAATGAAGGTATGGTAGGAGAGAAGTGGTGGGATTTTATACAAATCAAAGCTTTTTTTTTCTCTCGTGCACGCTTTGGTGGGTTCTCTCTCACACAGCCTTACCTTTTCTTTCTTTTTTTCTCAATATGTTGTTATCTCTCTCTAAAGATTCTGAAAGGGACGAGAAGAGAAAAATTAGGAATACATAGAAAGAAATTTGGAATTGTATGAAGGAAAAAGAAAAACTCAGAAAAAGGTAAAGCAGAGTAGAGTGACTTTACTCCTAAACCCCAAAAGTTGAAATGAAAAACCACAATAAATTTACAGCTTGCATACCAAGAAAAACAGTAATTGTTCTTGACACGAAAAAAAAAAGAAAACAGTAAAAAACTTAAAAATAGAAAAGTGGGTTTTTACTTTTTACCTTTTAGGCTTAGGGAGTTTTTTTTTTTGGAGTCAAACACACGCAACCTTGTCTTTTTTTCTGCCTCAAATATCGCTAGTTAAGGGTTTGTCTAGTGATAGAAGCAAAGCGTGCAGTTCTGTTTCTAACAAGTATACGGATTAGAAAAATAATTAAAAGCATAAATCCAATAAACAACTTGACCATTAAAAAAATACTAATAAGAGTAACTAAAATATGATAACAATAATAAATGAACTAAGGGAAGATCCCATAATTTATGGCCTGTTTTTAGGACCACTCTCTTATCCACTGTCCATAAGACACATATCCCTATGCTTCTTTTAAGACATTTTTCTATAGATAGTCATGGTAATTTGATGCTTTAATATTACTTTAACCATTCTACAAAATTATACATAAAGCAAATAGTAAATGAACATCATGGGAAGATTACTTGAGAGAATTCAAGAAATGGGTGAGGCATTGTATAAACATACGAATCAGCATGGCGTCGCAGTGAGATATATGTAGTTATTTATTTAAACTTGCCACAAAAATGTCAATTTGTTAGGTAGCTAATCAATTATTTTGTCAAAAAGTTAAAAACAATGTGTACGTGTGGATTACGATGGTATAATTTAATTTGCTTCCCCAACCAAGTAAATAGTCAACTGTTTGTCCTAATCTAAATTTTCTTTTCTCAAATACCAATAAACAACACCAAATCTACAAAATTAGCATATTTGATAAAAATAACAAAATAAATGACTTTAATAGAAACTATTGTAGTTGGTCCTTTTATTGAAAATTTTTTGTTCATAATTTTGCTGCGTAAATCAAGAACATATTTCAAGTTTTTCAACCAAAGTTTGAAGCTATTTTATTTGGTTTTTCAGGAAGGGAAAAAGAATGTACATGTAACATGTCTCTCCCACGTACGTGTGACAGCGATATTACGATAAAGCCGAACGTAGAAAATTCGATAGTGAAGAGTTCCGGTCAAGTAAGGAAGGGTAATTTGGGAAATTGAAGAAGGAGTGTGTCTTGAGTCATACATATCTTGTCTCCGTTTTACCCAACTCCGTGACTTTCTTTCTTCCTTCACTGTCAGACAAAAACCTTAACCATGGTTAACGTAACCTGAACCTCTCCGGTTTAACTTAACCGCACTAACTTGATCTGCACAGACAAACAAGACAGTGGACACATGTTGAAGTTGCACAAGATTTTGAGATCGTACGATAAGGTTTAAACTTGGGCTTTAATCAAAGCCGTAGAAGTGAATAGAGATATAGCAAACGCGACGGCTGTGATTAAAAGAGTGCAAAGCAAAGTATCCAATAAAAAAGTAGCCGACTCAGGAGAAAAGGAACAAAAAAAACAACTCGTGAATTGAATGTCATATCAAGGGAAATAAAGAAAAGAAAGTGAGAACAGTAGTGGTGTCAATGATGCTCTTCCTAGAATTTTCACCAAGAATTATCCACTCACTATTTTTCGAGTGAACCAAAAAAAGGAGTATATGTAAGAAGTTGATAATTTGATATCATTTTAACAAAAGAAAAAGAGGAATAAAAAAATAATAATCCAAATATGGATAAGGTCTGGATTGATCCTCTATAAATGGCCCATGAAAATCACGCTGGAAATGAGCCCAATTGTTGATCAATGTTCATGAACTTCATGCCTTTATGGACAAATAGGTTGACTTTTGAGTTTTGACTACTAATACTAGTAGTTTTGTGATTATTATCACATATATAATGCAAGTTTCTTAGAGTTGGATGAAAATTCATGGGCTTGCATATTTAATTGTACTACTTGCTTCAAAATTTTGTTCATGTTTCTGGGTGCTTATTTTTGCATAGTGAGAATAGACTATAGAGAACTAATTTTAATTATTTTGTTTTCTTCTTATCTTTTCTGATCAGACGTGTAGACTTGTATTCCATAAGACTTAACCTCTTACGAAAGTGGAGTCTTTTGGTAATACAGCGTCCAAAAGATTCATAATTCTCTCTCTCCTTTTTTCTTATGTTTTTCTCTTCTTTGAGTTATTAGCTAATATACTTCTTTTACTTTTAGTTGTCGGTTTTCTCACAAAAATTAAGAAATTATTAAATTTTTTGTTTTACCTTTTATTAATATTTTTTATGGTTTTTTCATTGGTCAAAACATTAAAACAATATGGTTAAAACTGAAATTTTCACCAAACATTTGCATTGAAAACCTAAAACGACAAATATTATAAAATAAAATTTATGTCTTAAAACGACAACTAAACTAAAACGGAGGAAGTATTATATGTAATGAGTTTTCGTCTTCACAAAAGGACATCATATTAATTAGTGTGATGAAAATTAAAGATATATTATTAATTATGAGAGTGATGCATAAACGAAAGACATTACGATGATCCTATCTCTAATTTTTCTATTTATCATTTCGTATGTAGGTGGGTGATAATTAATATGCAATGCATAACTTTTGATTAAGCAGTTAGAAGATTCTCTTTTATATACGAAAAATATAATAAATATTTTACAAACGAATCAATTTTTTCTCTTTATTTATCTTATTTATATTTTGCTTGTGTTTTGTTTATAATATTTTTTTTTTCTATTTTTGCCAATTTTTCTTGTTAATATCTTAACTAATATAATAGAAAGAAAGAATTTTTTTTTTGCCAATTTTTCTTGTTCATATTTTGCGTCTTCGTATCTTTTATCTGTTCCTAAGTTGAGTGGTCTATGGATTTAGGTAAATTACTCTTCCCTAAGTTTAATTAAGACTAGCTAACTTATGAGATTTTTGTTTTGTAATTAAGCTCCAGCAAAAAGGAAAGAGCCCTGGGCCAAGGCGCTCCAATGCCATAGCCCAAGTTGGAGAAAATATATACTCCCTCCGTTTCAAAATATAAGACGTTTTGGAGAAACTTTTTTGTTTCACAATATAAGTCATTTTCAAGTTTCTATGCAAATTATATATTATTTTAATATTTTATGATTATTTCTATTATACAGTCTCTTTTATGATTGGTTGAACTTTTAAAAAGTAGATCTTCTTAATCGACGTGTTTTTAGCTAAAACGACTTATATTTTGAAACGGAGGGAGTATATATTACGATGATCCTATCTCTAGTTTTTTCATTTATCGTATATTCTTATGTAGCTGTTCCTAAGTCTTGTGGTCTATGGATTTAGGTAAATTACTCTTCCCTAAGTTTAATTAAGACTAGCTAACTTATGAGATTTTTGTTTTGTAGTTAAGCTCCAGCAAAAAGGAAAGAGCCCTGGGTCAAGGCGCTCCAATGCCATAGCCCAAGTCGGAGAAATATATATATCGTTGCTTGTGTTTTTTCTGTTGCTTGTGTTTTTGCTTATAATATTTTTTCTCTCTATTTTTTCAAATTTGTCTTGTTCATATCTTAACTAATAAACTCATGCATCCAAAAGTTTGTTATGGACATTTAATTACATATCAAAGTAAAATAATTAAAAAGATCATGGATGGTTTAAAATTTACAGCCGCACAATTTATGAGTTGTGTATATATATTACCTATAATAATGTTACATATCCTAAAATTAACAATCAAAATACAAATACAACCTTAAACACAAAACAAAACATACAATATTAACAAAACAAATACAACCTAAAATTTTAAAAATTTAGTTATACAAGTATCGACCCACGGTATACCGCGGAGTAAAATATTCAAAATTTTAAAATCGACCATACATCGTTACTTAAAAAATGTATGTTTTCGTATCCATACTTCAAAAATCGAAACCTAAACAATAGTAATCATACAATATATAATACATAGATAGATATCTACATTTAAAAATACAAACTAATATGATATATCTTCAGTTAATCTTTTAAAAATATAAGCTAGCGGTGTACCGCGGGTTAAATTCTAGTTTAATTACATATCAAAGTAAAATAATTAAAAAAACCATGGATGGTATAAAATTTACAGCCGCACAATTTATGAGTTGTGTATATATATTACCTATAATAATGTATATGATTATTTGTTTTTAACAGTTGAATTTCATTGATTTAACCAGTATGATTATTTGTTATTTAAGCAAGAGCAAAAATATTATTCAAAAAAAAAATTGTATGTTTATAATTATTTTTATGAGAAAATCGGATTTCTCTACATAACATGGATAAAATAAAACTGATAAATAACCTATACAAAATATTTTGTAACCAAAGTGATACTGAATTTACTTAATGATTTATGACCTAATATGATTATTAATTAAGTGGTAAACAAAATTGTAGAATTTATTTTGTAAATTAGAGTCCATGTCACGCAGTTGAAATTATCGACAACACGCAAACAATTAACAAAAAAAAAGAAGGAAAAAGGAATTTCTTAATTCTTACAAGTTATAAAAAATACTAGTATTAAAAATCAAAGCCAATGTCGGATACTATATCGCCGATTAATAGCCCACCCAATGCTCCTCCCAGAAGCCCAGCTCCCATTCCAAGCCCTGTTTTATTATTCTTCTTCGGCGGCGCTTGCGTCGTCGGACAGCCGTATCCATATCCCGGTGACGTCGTCGGCGGATAAACGTACCCGTGGTGATTCTGCGGAGACGAAGGCGCGAACCCGTGAAACGACTGTGACGGTTGCGTTTGGTGGTATGAATGACCAGGAGGCGGCGGATAGGATTGATGATGCGTCGGAGAAGTACTGTAATACGGCGGAGGATATAAATTCGAGGCAGAGGGTGACGGAGGTGGATAAACGGTGGCTGGCTGTTCCGGGTACTGCGAATCGTACTGGTACGGATTCGGGTTCGGGTACGGGTACGGCGGTGCGGAATAATCTTGCGGCGGTGACGACGGAGGATATCCAATAGACGATATTGGTGGATAGAAACTTGCTTCAGACGATGGCGGAGGATAATTCGTCGTCGTCGACGAGTAATCAGACGGTATATCCATCGGAATCGAGTAAACCGGTGGTGATGATGCCGGTAAATCCGGTTTAAACGACGGCGTATCGAACCGGTACGAAAAAGTCAACGAGCCTTGACCTTTCCCAAACGGAGTTTTCACCTGATACGTCACAAATCTCATCATCCCCTGACCGTTACCGTTAGTTGACGGCGACGAAGAACCATGAAGAAGCCCAAGAACAGGGACTTGGACTTCTCCGAGATCTTTATCGCCGAAGATCCGATCGCAGACCAATTTCACGACGAGGGTCAAACGGCCTTCGTGGGCTAACCTTTGATCAACGGAAAATTTGACGGTGTGATTCCAAGTAGGCTCAGATTCTCCGGTTCGATCGATAGGGGTTTTCTCCTTATGATTCTTCTGAGAATCATCGCCGGTGATCCAAACGACGGCGTATACATCCATTTTGGTGATGAGGTTGACATTTTCAAGATCTTTTGCAGAGTAGATGTTGAGCTCTAAGGTAAGATTCGCCATGGCTAAGACAGAGAGAGGTCGAAAGAGAAGGAGATAATTATTGTGTCCGTCAAAAATAGATAAATAAATGAATCTACGCGTAAAATAAATTATTTATGTAACCGAAGCTTCTAAAATAATCGGAAAATTAACATAACAGATGTGTAGACAGTAGAAGATTTCCTTTAGCTATATAGAAAATCAATCTTAGCCGTTGATTTTCACAGATCTTTGACACGTATTAAATCATGATACCATATTCACGGACGCGGAAATTTAGTTTGATACAAAGAGTTAAATTTCTATTTTCAACCATTAATTGATGCAAGACACAATTTCAAAGATCATTAATATGGGAATTTATAAGTTAAGAAACTTCATTCCTACCATTAATTAATTCTACAAGACTTAATTTCTAAGAACATTTTGGGCTCCACGACTGGGGAGTAACGTAGTCAACGCGGCATGAGACGAACCGGTTTCTGTCAAGGCTGATTCGGCTGCGTTCTTTGGTTCTCTTCCTAACCGGACCATCTTGCATTATCTTGATTCTCCACCTCCATTGAGCTCACGAAATCCATGTCTGATTCATTCATCGGAATTGCAAGCTTGATTTCATTCACAATCACTACTCTATTAAACTGTTGAGCGTACAAAGGCCATGATGCAACCATCGGTTTATGCTAAACCAATTTGAATTAATCAAATTGAACCGTTCTATATATAATTGAAATTAAATCATTCTACATATAGTTTCAACTTTCAAACCACAAATAGTAGACGTGTGTTAATTTTATAAATTTCGATTACAACAATAGTAAATAAATCACCAACAATAATTAAATTAACCAAAAATCTACAAAAGTTTGAGTTCGTAGTTGATATCATAACTGATATTGAGTAAGTGATTGAATCCTCTCTCTCACATGATTCAGCTTGTAGAAAATTAATATTGGGACAAAGAATAACAAACCTCATAAATGATGACTTCCCAGCTCTTAATTCCATCTCATCCTTGTTATCCTCTAATCTAGAAGGTTTACTAGAGGGAACAAATACTAAACCCCTAAATATGTAATAGTTTGGGAGGGGGTGGGGGTTTGTAGTATTGTTGAACCTAAGAGTATGGTTTCCCAATGAAACACCATCAATTGAGAGGATGGTGTCTTTATATTGCAAGATGCCTTTAGCGTCCGACGAGGGACTGATTGCTTGAATAGAACTCCACCTATGTTACGCTTCCGTACGAAAAACCATCAATTGAGAGGATGATATCTTTATATTGCAAGATGCTTTTAGCGTCCGACGAGGGACTGATTGCTTGAATAGAACTCCACCTATGTTACGCTTCCGTACGAAAAAGTAACAGAATCAATCATTTATCATTGGTTGATAGGTTAGACAGAGTGAGACAAAAACAAAAGATCAGTCGTTTTCTTCAATCCCAAAATTAGAGAAACAAAAAATGGTAAAAAAGTTTGATAAATACATGAAACTAATAATGTAAAACTAATAATACACTAGATGTGATTTGTTGTTTCCCCCTTATGTCTATATAAACATTTTTGTACCTTTGAAGTGAAAAAATTGAAATAAATATAGTGATGAGATTCACATACTGAGCCGTCATATATGACTTCATCAAGTCATATCATACTTTTTGCACATAATATGCAATTTGTTTTTCTTGTTTAGGCAAATTTGTAAGTAGTTTGGCTATCCTATAAAAAATAAAGTATCTTCTTTTAAAATATGGGAGCTGATAAATGTAAAAATAAGTGTATATATGATCTATGATTATAAAAAATAAAGTATCCTAGGCATGATATTCATTTCACTGACGCATTAATAAAAACTATGCAATTTGTAAAAAAAAAATCATACATACGAAAGTTAATCAATTCTCTTCATATGATTGACCCATCATTACTTTAACATTTTTCATGTGTCTACTAAATAGTTAATGTAAGTTCTATATCGTTTATTTTATAGGTTAATGGTACATTTATTATTTAATTGTACATATTATTGAATTCACATATTTAATTATACCAATAATAACTTTATTTTATAATTATATGTTTTCTTCTTCGATGAAATTATTTTATTGGTTTTCTCATATTCCAGAATTTTATCACTAATTTTTTATAATCTTAACTCAAAATAGTATAGTAGATTAGCTAATAGTATGAATATATTCCACATCATCAAGTTTATGAGGTTTTTATAATTCCAACATTACTATTTATGGAATTAGTTTATGAAGAATAATGTTTAAGGACTATGTGATGCATTTTTGAGTATATTGCTAAAAAAATACTTTAAAACTAAGAATAATTTTAATAATTAGATAATTAAAAATTACATTTATCAAAACATAATCATATATATATGAAAGTTGACCAACTCTCTCCAAATGAGTGTCACATCATCACATAAGAAAATGACATATGTCATTCAACATTATTTAAATTAAAAATCAGCAAAATTAATTGAATGAAAATCAAAAGTCTCATATTGTGTTAAATCCTCCATTATCCCTTTCTTAAATGATTTTTTCAAAATAAAAAGAAAATTATAAAATTATTTTAATCAGTCAATTACTACTTTCATTTTACTTTTATTATTTTTCTAATTTTTTTAAATTTAATGGTCAATGGTCATCACTCGATAATGACTAAATAATTATTTGTGTTGTAGTTTAGTTGTTTGCTACCTAATATCTTATTAGATTAGTAATTTTACTTTGAATATTTTCTTATTAATACGTTATGGTTCATATCTTATCATATGACATTCTCTCTTTTCATTTTTGTGTCTTATGGTAAGTTCGTAACATTGACATGTAAATTTTTTTCAAGTAATGAGCTTTAGAGACGTTAGACATACTACGAAATTCAAGATAAATCCATTTATCTTATATGGCTATATGCAATAGCATAAAATCTAAAAGTGTTACTTAAATAACTCTTCAATTTTTGCTTTTTGTTTTTTTTCATACGAAAACTCTTGAGATAAAACTACTTTCAGCTTATCTTCATGTTCTGTGTATTCATGATAGTGAACAAATATTAGAATCTTAGATATAAAAATAATCATATTATACATGAAAATGTATAAATTGATGTTTAGAGTCAAAAACGAATCTAACGATAAAAATTGTAAGTACATAATATGAGTCTAATTTTATTAACTATATAATAACAAACACAAAAATAAACATAACTTATCGACAAAAAAAATTAACCTATTTTATTTTAACAATTTTCAAAAAAACTCACGCGTAGCGTGGAAATTCATCTGGTATTACATAAAACAAAGAAAAAATACTGCCACGTAGCATAGATGACCACATATAATATTAATAAACTAAGACAAACATGTTGAAGAACAAAATCCATATAGCATGTATCTCGTCGACTATTACTACATTTTGTAATTTACCTATAAACTCATTTTGTATGAGATTTCCATTTTGTATATGTATTGCCTTTCTTTTTTTTTTTTAATTTGATTTTGTCCAAAACTTTAGAAAAATACGTGGGTTCACTCATAAGGGTAAACTCTTTTTTCACTATATATTTTTTAACCAATCAAAATATACCCCCTAATAAAAATAAATAAAACTAAAAATTAGAAAATTATATATCGGTTTAGGTTTATAAAGAAATGTTAGGATTTAGATTTTTTAATTAAACAAAGTCCACAAAGATGTCCATAGATGATGGAGTCACTAATCACAATTCACAAGCCAGAAGTCACAAAGCAACAACAAATCTTTTCTTTTGTCAAACATAGTGAATTACTCATACTAAATTCCTTGATTCCCGAAATACATCTAAAACCTCTCACAGAACTACCAAATGGGACTACAATGAACTGATCTTGTTCATTGTTATACACCAAACATTGTCATTTTCTTTTTCACTAGTAGCTTTCACGAGTAACTTCATTCTTTCTTACTACGCATGCAAACTTAATACTGGCCGGTTCTTCACCCATCCTTTCTTGTTATACACGAAAGCCAAAATTTACTGCAATTAAGGAGGGGGAAGAATTTTCAGTGTGATATCAGCATGGTTCGGTTTGCTGAGTTCAATGAAGAACGAAAGCACACGGGACTACGACAAACGACATGAAATGTTTGTTTCTTTCTGTGGTCTCAGAGAACATAACTTTGAACTAGTAAAACAAATAACCCCATAGACATGATTCTGAGAGACTACAAAGTTATTAATTGTCACAAGACTTAATTTCAACGATCACTTTGGGCTCCAAGATTGGAGTAAAGTAGTTAATGCGGTATGAGACGAACCAGTTTCTGTCAAGGCTAATTCGGCTGCGTTCTTCATTGCCATGGTTCTCTCCCTAACCGGAGACTCCCCAATTATCTCTTGGACTCGTTTCTCCACCTCTGTAGAGCTCACGAAACCCGTCTCTGATTCATTCATCGAAATCGCAATCTTGATCTCCTCCACTATCATCACTTTATTAAACCTCTGCTCAGCGTACAACGGCCAAGCCACCATCGGCACACCTATTATAGTAAACCAATTCAATTAACCACAATGAACATTTTAAGCATGTATATAATTGAAATGTGTATATATTTAACTTACCTGCGCAAACAGCTTCAAGAATTGAATTCCAACCGCAATGAGTGACAAATCCGCCGACTGCTTTATGATTCAGAACCGGAACTTGCGGAGCCCATGATTTGACGACCATTCCTCTGTTTTCGGTTCGGCTTAAGAATCCTTCTGGTAAGAGTGATTTCAAATCCAGTTCTGTATTTTCTAACTCAGGTGGATTACGGACCACCCACAAGAATCTCTGCCCACTTTTCTCTAAACCAACAGCAATCTCTTTCAACTGTTCTTTTGAGAACAAACCCAAGCTTCCAAAACAGAGGAACACAACACTCTTTTCCGGCTGCGAATCGAGCCAATTTAGACAAGAAACTGCCTCGTTATCGTTTTTATCTTCGGTTCTTCCGTTTACAATGAGCGGTCCAATCGGATAAATATTGGGAAAACAGAGCTCCTCTGTTATGGCCTTGATGGCTTTGTTCTCTAAAGCATCAAACGTATTAACAATAATCCCTGAAGATTTTGAGAGCTGTTTACCGAACATTATAAAAACATCGTAGACCTCATCGTCTCGTTCGAGCACCGCCTTAGGCATATCAGAGCCCTTCATCGGAGGAACGCCGGGGATATGAAGTATAGGAATGTCTCTGAGGTTTTTTCCCTGGGTTGTTTCGTGGATGATCGGGAGATAGAAGGAAAATGCGAGACATGCGGCTCCAGAGGTGAAGAAGTAGTAAACCGGGAAGGTGAAGTCTGTGGTGATGTCAAAAACCGCGGTGCAGAAGAAATCGATGATCATTGCTCGGATGTTGAAGTTCCGAGATAGTGAGAAAAGGGTTCGGTGGACATTTGGGTTGCTAAAACAGAGGATTTCTAGGAGGAGTGACTCGTGGTGGTGGCGAGATGTGGATGAGGAGGAGTACGGTGTGACGGCGGGAAGATGGTGGAAGGTTATTGAAGGGAAGGTGGAGGAGACGGAGGAGATGTAAGTGGCTGTTGATTCCGGCTGATAAGGCGGTGGAACTAAGATGATGTGGATGGAGAGAGATGGGTTTTTGGAGAGGATGATTTTGCCTAACTCAACCATGGACACTAAGTGACCTATTGGTGGTGCTGGATACAGAACTATAGCTTCTTCTCCCATGGCTCTTCCTAAGGTTTGTGAGATTTGTTGCAAGAAATGGAAAGTTGATAATGATGATATGGTTTACAATCACACGTCTCTTTGGAGGTAAGAGATTGATTTTCATTCACTTTTTTTGGAGGAAAGTACTGACATAAAATCAGATGGACCAATAGATGATATGATCCATGGATAATGGTTCCACCTCTCGACAAAATAATATGGCAAAAGTCATAAGTTTTAGACTTTGTAGTCACCAAACAACGAGAATTTCTTTTACCGGGGTTAAATACATTTAATATATATTGAATTTCTTTTTTTATGTATAAGCGTTTACAAGAATTTTATTTCCCAAGATTGCATGAAATTTACAATCTATACCATTACAAAACCAATAATTTTACTTTTGTAATTACATTTTCTAAAATATGTGTATAATGATATTGTAAACATCCTAGGCATATTTTCACTAATTTTTTTATTATCAAATATCTCCACGCATAGCATGAAATATCATAAGAAGTATATGAGCCAAATGGGCTATATCAGTTTTTTTTTTACCACCTAATTTAATTTGTCAGTTTTCTCATGAAAACAAAAAATCGTTCCAGATTCATCAATTTAATATAGCCAAGTGAGCACGTTACATACGCCATTAGAGCCTTCAACGAAATGGACCTACTGTTTCAAGTGAATAAGGATTTATCTATCCAATTCCAATTTGGAGATTTAAAGTAAAATAAAATAAAAAATCAATTTTATGTATTATGTCCCCGTAATTAATGAAACACTTTTAATTCATACCTCGTGTATCAATCTAAGACATTTTACGTCTATATATACTTCCTCCGTTTTCGAATAGTTGTCGTTTTAACTATATGCACACAAATTAAGAAACTATTAATCTTGTTAGTTTTTCAATATAAAAATATCATTAATTATCTACCTAAACATAATTTAACTAATAGTAAATCAAGTTGCAAAATCCAAATAAATATAAAAAATAAAAAAATACTAATAAATTTTGCATCGAAAACTGAAAACGACAACTAATTAAAAACAAAAAATTTTCTCTAAAACGACAACTATTCGAAAACGGAGGGAGAAATCTTTTGCATGGGAAAACTAATTATTCTCCTTTTATATTAACATAAACGGTTTTCATTGCGTGGAAGCAAGAATTTGCTCTGTTTGTTTGGTTTATTTTATCATCTTCGATCAATAGAAACATTTATCCATGACAAATACATTACGACGACGTCTAGTCCTCTAAAGGTATTGAATGATGTTGATTTGGAACATAACTCGATCTTTACTAGTGATCTAGGTAATCAGATAATTATAAAAATACATGAATTTGAAAAGAAAGTTCCTTTTATTGAAAATATCTGAATTATTCAGACTGAATACAAATATGAAATATGGCAATGCCAAGTAATTAAGCCACACATTCGGCTTGTTTTATTTAAACCTTATGATACACTCTACTTACCACTAAGTAGTACAACAATCACCCAACACAAAGCAAACGATACCTAACCAAACTGAACCGGACCAAACCGGTTTAGTTGTTTTTGGCGGCGTTTTCAAACGACCAGCTCCAAATGTCGTGACGCTCAACGGCACGTCCCATGGAACCAGCAAAACCAGCGTACATGTTTTGAAGAAGAACTTCATTGAGCACTCTCGGAGCTTCGATCAAAGCCCTCTTAGGTTTCTTAACGTTTTCAGGCGCGAGTGTAACCGTAATCGTTGAGTCTTTGTTTCTGAACTCAACCCAAGCCTTGAACCTCTCTCCACTGCTAAGATTCACATCTTTAAACGACCAAACTTTCCTTTTACCGACTCTTGTCTGAACCCAGTAACCAGCTTTCTCAGCGACAAGAGAAGTCATCGAGTTGATGTTAACTCCGACATGGTTACCACTAATGTCTAGAAACTCTTTGTTCTGGAAAGTATCGAATTCGATAGCCAAGATGTGGTTCTCTGGCTTTCCATCGTTGGTTTTGTTGAGGATTCCGAGATATCCGCCACCCGAAGCACCGGAGTTATCAGCTTCCGCGACTATGATGAAGGCGAGACCTTGACCGGAGTTAGGTTTGGTGCGAGGAGTGATGGAGAAAGTGAAAGAAGTTTCAAATGAATAAGGAGAAGAAGTGTTTGAAGGTTTGAATGGGATTTGATTGATGTAAAGACCTTGACCATGAGAGAATGGGTTCTCGTCTCGGGTCATGGATAAAGCTCCGGATCGGCTTACACCATCAGAGGAAGGACCAAGCTCTGCGTCTCCTAGGAATAGCAAGTTGTTGCCATCGAAGGATTTGAAGTTGAATTTGACGGCAAAAGCTGCGTTAGCTAAGAACAGAACAAGAAAACAGAGTTTGTGAATCTGCATTGTGTGAGTGTTTTTTTTTTTTAATGTTGTTGTTGTTTTTTGTGATTGAAAGATTGATGATGAAAATATTTGGAGGTTGATAATGTGTTTATATAAGGGATAACGTAAGCCATCGAGTTTGAATATTCAAATTTTACTTCGAAAAATGGTCAAATAAATTAAGCCAAGTGGATTCGTTTCAGATCAGACGCCACCACAATGGCCTAGCAGTGAAAATGGACCCATCAGATGTGTTTCAATGAACAAATTAATCTTATTCTTTTGATAAAATATAATTGATTCGAGTAATAATTGATTATAAATTGATTCGATAATAATTGATTGATTATATTATGTGTTTCTTGTCCCCTTTCTCTACGAAACATTACGAATTTCATGCGTCGTGTACAAATCTGTAAGACATAGACACTTTTAGTTTATATGAACTATTTTCGTTATGTGGATGCAAAATACGTTTTTCTGACGTCAAAATAAATACACTCTGGAAGTTTACGTTCAGAGGAGTTTACGTGGATGCAAAAAAACGTTTGGCAATCTCATTAAAAAGTGTTTAGAAAAAAAAGAAAGATAAAAGTAATCATGCTAATAATTAAGAGCATACGTTTTAACTTTTAACTTTAACTGAAATCTCTTTCACTCTTTGATCCAACAAACAAAAAAAAAACATATTGATAAGAAAACACTTTCTCTTAAACCAATTACAAACCTCAATGAAAACTCATATCCGTTGAGAAAAATAAGAACACACATATGTTTATTTAGTTTAACTTGGAAGATGTCTTCTTCTACGTATGAATGGTCTTCATTCTTTCATTATATTCTCCATGTGATAGCTAGTCATGTAATTGCTTTTGAAATCAATCCTTGTTTATTAGGAAAAATCAAACATCAAAGGAAGAACACTCCAAGGAAGAAGGTTTATCGTATTGTCTTTGAACGGATCATCAAGCAACATAGGAAGACAAATGTCCTTAGATATGAACGACTTTATTTTGTGACGTTCCAAGATTTGTAACGTTGCTTTTTTAGCAGTTTCATAGTTGAGGACCAAAACTTTATGATTTTTAAAGTCCAGCCTCAAATCTTCAGTGCTACATTCCTCTATTAGCTCGCATAGATGCTTGAGATTCTTTACTTCCACTCCGTTCACTTTCTCCACCTGTTTCCACCACAACTATTATCTTTTCCTAGACATGATAATTGCATAAAATTTGGAACTATGTTTAAAAAATATTAGAGTATATACTTTAATACTTGTATATAGATTAAATTGTAATTACAGCTCATAGTAAACAGAGTATATATACTCTATTGTATATACATTAATAAATTAATGTATATACCTTAATACTTGTATATAGATTAAATTGTAATTACAGCTCATAGTAAACAGAGTATATATACTCTATTGTATATACATTAATAAATTAATGGGAAATCATCCTTATCTTTCTCTCTAAATCTGATATGGTATCAGAGCGTGTGCTCCCTTCCGCAACAAGATTTCTCATTCAGATCTTCATCATCGAGCTTCGATCTCCATGATCTGAGCTCATTTTTCTTCTTCTTGACCTTCGTTTATCATAGATCGGGTTTCGTTTCATCTTTTTTGAGCTTCGATTGCTCGTCATAAATAAATTACCTGAGCACCATCTAAACTTTGGTATCCTTCGTTGATGTCATCTGCTAATATCTACACCAAGAAACAATTTCTCTAAGTGCAATGCCTAAATGTTATATTGAAAAGAAGACATTATTTTTTAAACTAAACATGCTTTTATTGTTTTATTGTTAAGAAAAAAAGCATCTTTAGTAGCTCTACATATCCTCATTCTTTCTACCAAACTCAGATTCAAATTAAAAATGATTGAATTAAAGAGAAAAAAAACAAATAGTATCGTGGACAAAGAAAAATGCAAACCTCGGAAATTTTGACTTGGTGATGTTCACTATCAAGATATGTTTTAGTGAGAGGCACAAAAACAAAACCCCCAAATATGTAGTAACTTGGAAGATTATAAAATTGTTGCACTGTAAAGTTTGGTTTCACCTGCGTAAAATAGAAAGTAGTTCAGAACAAAATGTGAACGAGAAGGGCCAAACAATTTAGAAAAGAACAATTCTTGGGTTCACCCCTAGGGGTGAATCCAATTCATTCACCCCCTCTTTAATAACCAATCAAAATTTGCCATGTCATCTAATTTAAAAAATTAAAACAACTAATATTATTTAAACAAAAGAATTAAATTAAATCATTAAGAATTCAAAACTGAATTAATTTTGCTAATCATACGAGAGATTGTGGCATTGATGTTAGAAGTTCTACTAGTATAATTATTTGTATGCTAGTTATAAGTAAATAATATTGTACTCATACTCTTTTCCGTTTCGTAAAACTTTAACTAAGGCTTTTTCACCTGGTTTCTTCATAGAAACCAAGTAGCTGAAATCTATCCGTCTTTTGTTTTGGAAAGGAACTGCATCAAACAGAAACTCACTTCACAAGTAAATATGGAGAACATTAAGCAATATCTATTACCAATAGTATTACCTTTCTCATCATTTCCTATTGGAACACCATCAATTGCAAGAATAATGTCGTCTTTTCTCAAAATTTTGTAAGCCCCCGACGACGAGTTTATTTTGTTTATAAGAATTCCTGTCATTTCATGGCTCATCTTGTAATGATTACGGATTTGAACATTTTCGAGAGATTGCTATGCTAGATCCAATGAGCCGAAACCAGAATATTGTCTGCTCTCTTGGACACCAGTTATGAAATGCTTAATTATTGGGGTTGGGATCACAAAACTGCATGTAAAAACCACACCCAAAAAAAAAGAAAGTTAAAAGAGTTTCACCCACCTCTTGATACAAATGTATGCAAATTGATTATCTAAGATTTACAGTTTAGCTTTCAACTTACCCCATTTCATATACTACACCAACGACTTTGTTTCCCATAATCACCGAGAGGTGGTATGTCTCCAAGCTCCAAGGGATTCATACCCTTCCAAAACTCGTCACTATCGATCTCCAAGATGGCCAAATCACATTCATGTGAAATCTTTTGAACTTTTGCTTTGTATTTGATTTGAGAGCCATGTCTTTTGACATCCACGAATGTGTGATCATTCATAGCCATCACCACATGAGCGTTCGTAAGAATTTTCTTTCCCGCGATTGCAAATCCTAGAACATCAATTTCAAGCCATAAAAATAACAACTTTGAAGTGACCTTTGAGATAAGTATAGTCACATACCAGTGCCCCTGGATGATTTTTAGCCAAGAGTCTTATTGGATTGTACCGGTTACTTGCATTTTGGTTTATTTAGTCTAGATAAACTCTGGTTTATTTGACTGGTTTAGTTTAGCTACACTTGTATATATTGACAATTGTACAGCTTTACTTTCTTAAGAAATAAGAATCTTTTTCAACAAACTTTCTCTCAAGCTTATCTCGCTCTTTCTTGTAACATGGTATCAGAGCCATCAAGCTTTTGATCTTTGTTGATTCCGATCAGATTTCTTCACTTTCCGATCTCGATCTATTTTCTTCACCTTGTTACTCGTTCCGATGGTGAAAGTTCCGGTGGTTCCTCGGAAATCTACTCGTTCAAAGGCATCGACGAGCTCAGCTACACGGAAAACTTCGTCGCGTTCCTCCGATCTTCTCGTTTCAGCTTCGCACTCTCCTCCAGCTGAAGATCTGACCTCATCTGGAGCTCCGAGAGCTGATATGACCTTAGATTCGATGGATCCGATGCATTCACCGTTTTTTATGCATAACGGTGACCATCCAGGTTTGCTTCTTGTCTCCATACGTCTAGATGGAACAAATTATGATGACTGGAGTGCTGTTATGCGTATTGCTTTAGATGCTAAGAACAAAACTGGTTTTATTGATGGATCTCTTCCCCGTCCTCTTGAAACGGATGGAAATTTCCGTCTCTGGTCTCGTTGTAACAGCATGGTAAAATCATGGCTGCTCAACTCTGTGTCACCTCAGATCCATCGTAGCATCCTGCGGATGAATGATGCTACTGATATCTGGCGTGACATCTATAGTCGTTTTCACATGACTAATCTCCCCAGGACTTTCAATCTGACTCAGGCGATTCAGGATCTCCGTCAGGGTTCTTTGACTCTCTCTGAATATTACACTCAGTTGAGAATTCTTTGGGATAACTTGGACAGTACAGAGGAACTTGATGATCCTTGTACTTGTGGTAAAGGTCTTCGTCTGCAACAAAAGGCAGAGAGGGCTAAGACTGTCAAGTTTTTGGCAGGTTTGAATGAGTCTTATGCCATTGTCAGGAGACAGATAATTTCAAAGAAGGCTCTTCCATCACTGGCTGAAGTGTACAACATTTTGGATCAAGATGATAATCAAAAGGGTTTTTCTACTCCAGCTTCTCCTTCTGCTGCGTTTCAAGTCTCTGAGATTTCTCCTTCACCTCAGTTTGAATCTGCTCTTTCACCAACAGTTTGCTATGTTCAGAATGGACCATACAAAGGGCGTCCTATCTGCTCCTATTGCAACAGGGTTGGACATATTGCAGAAAAATGTTACAGGAAACATGGTTTTCCACCTGGTTACAAAGGGAAAATTCCTGAAAAATCACAGAAACTTCCTCCAGTTGTTGCTCAGGTTTCCATGTCTCCTAATCCTACTTCCTCTCCTACTCATCTGGAAGGTCTGATTGGTAATCTCTCGAGTGATCAACTTCAGAATTTCATTGCTCTGTTCAGTTCTCAGTTACAGGCTCAACCAAGTTCTAGTGTTTCTCCACCTGTTGCTGGTCCATCTCACTCTCCAATTGATTACACTGGATCTCCTTCTCTACTTCTACATATTCTTTTGTTGGCATATTGAATGTTTCCCAACACACTCTTTCTAGTGACACTTGGGTTATAGATTCTGGTGCAACACACCATGTGTGCCATGATAAGAACCTATTTGTTTCTTTGGACCATTCTATTGAGAGTTATGTGAACATGCCAACAGGACCGACTGTTAGAATTAGTGGAGTTGGATCTGTTCAGATCAACAACAGTATTCTTCTCAAGAATGTTTTGTTCTTACCAGAATTTCGTTTGAATCTGATCAGTATCAGTTCTTTGACATCAGACATTGGTTCTCGCGTGATATTTGATCCCTCTTGTTGTGAAATACATGATCTTATCAAGGGGTCGACAGTTGGAAAGGGTAGGAGGATTGGGAACCTCTATGTGCTGGATACTACATCTTCTATCTCAGTCAATTCAGTGGTGGATGTTGGTTTATGGCACAAGAGGATGGGACACCCTTCTTATTCAAGACTGGATGTTCTTTCTGAAGTTTTGGGTACTTCCAAGCATAAGAATAAAGGCTCTGCTTATTGTCACATTTGTCATTTGGCTAAGCAGAAGAAGTTGTCATTTTCCTCTTCAAACAACATTTGTAATTCAACCTTTGAGTTATTACATATAGACCTTTGGGGACCTTTTTCAGTGGAGACTATAGATGGATTTAAGTATTTCTTAACAATCGTCGATGATCATTCAAGGGCTACCTGGGTTTATTTACTAAAGACTAAAAGTGAAGTTCTCAGTGTTTTCCCTGCTTTCATCACTAAGGTTGAGAATCAGTACAACACTAAAGTCAAAGCTGTTAGATCAGATAATGCTCAAGCATTGAAGTTTACAGAATTCTACAAACAGAAAGGGATAGTTTCATACCACTCTTGCCCTGAGACACCTGAACAAAACTCGGTTGTTGAAAGGAAGCACCAACATATACTCAATGTTGCAAGGGCTTTGATGTTTCAGTCTGGCGTTTCTTTATCTTACTGGGGAGATTGCATCTTGACAGCTGTGTTCCTCATCAATAGGACACCTTCTCAATTGCTTTCTAACCACACTCCTTTTGAAATTCTTACAAGTAAGAAACCAGAATATGATCAAATCCGCACTTTTGGTTGTTTATGTTATGGTTCTACTTCTCCTGTTCAACGCCACAAGTTTCAGCCTCGTGCAAGAGCCTGCATCTTTTTGGGATATCCTGCAGGGTATAAGGGGTACAAGATTCTGGATTTGGAAAGCCACAAAGTTTTCATCTCCAGAAATGTTACCTTCCATGAATCAGTCTTCCCTTTGGCAAGTCAGAATCCCTCACCAGACAGTTCTTCTTTGGATTCTTTGCCTCCAGGTACCATCACTTCTCCCTCTCCATCACCACAAATTTCTCCATCACCACAAATTTCTTCCCATCGAGCTAAGAAACCTCCTGCTCACTTAAATAATTATCATTGTTACTCTCTCAACAATGATATCACACATCCCATTTCTTCTTCTCTTTCATATTCTCAAATCTCTCCATCACACTTGTTATACATCAATAACATCACCAAAATTCCGATTCCTCAATCATATACTGAGGCAAAGAAATCCAAAGAATGGTGTAATGCTATTGACAAGGAGATAGGTGCTATGGAGGATACCAATACTTGGGAAATTGCAAGTTTACCCCCAGGGAAGAAGGCTGTAGGCTGCAAGTGGGTTTTTACTTTGAAGTTTCATGCTGATGGAAGTCTTGAAAGACATAAAGCACGGTTGGTTGCGAAGGGTTACACTCAAAAGGAGGGTTTGGACTACACAGACACATTCTCTCCTGTAGCTAAAATGACCACTGTGAAGTTTTTATTGAAGGTCTCTGCGTCCAAGAAATGGTATTTGAATCAACTTGACATTTCAAATGCATTTTTGAATGGAGATTTGGAGGAAGATATATATATGCGATTGCCTGAAGGTTATGCAGACAGTAAGGGGGACCAATTGCCTAAGAATGCTGTTTTGAAGCTCAAGAAATCCATTTATGGCCTTAAACAGGCTTCTAGGCAATGGTTTCTGAAGTTTTCTGAAAGATTATTAAGTCTGGGATTCACTAAGGGCCATGGTGATCACATTCTTTTTATTCACAGTTCTGGTAATGAGTTTCTTGCAGTCCTTGTTTATGTGGACGATATAGTTATTGCCAGCACAACTGAAGGTGCTGCAACACAACTGACGGCTTCATTGAAACAGAGTTTCAAACTGCGTGAGCTTGGACCTCTTAAATATTTTCTGGGTTTGGAGATAGCTAGAAATGCTGAAGGTATCTCTTTGTGTCAACGCAAATATGCCTTGGAACTTCTCACTTCCACTGGTATGTTAGCTTGTAAATCTTCCTCCATTCCCATGATTCCCAATACGAAACTTTCCAAGACTGATGGTGAATTACTTGAGAACAGAGAAATGTACCGCAGTCTGGTAGGGCGTTTGATGTATTTAACAATAACCAGACCTGATATCACCTTTGCTGTCAACAAGCTTTGTCAGTATTCTGCTGCTCCTCGTACTTCTCACTTGACTGCAGTCTACAAAGTTTTACAGTATATCAAAGGGACAGTGGGTCAAGGCCTCTTCTATTCATCAGATCCTGACTTAACTCTCAAAGGTTTTGCTGATTCAGATTGGGGTACATGTCCAGACACTCGTCGTTCCACCACAGGTTTCACAATGTTTCTTGGCTCTTCCTTGATTTCTTGGCGATCAAAGAAACAACCCACAGTCTCAAGATCATCTGCAGAGGCCGAGTACAGGGCTCTTGCTTTGGCTTCATGTGAAATGGTATGGATTGCTATCTTGCTTTCAGATTTAAAAGTCTACACAGGGTCAGTTCCTATACTTTTCTCTGATAGTACCGCTGCCATATACATTGCCACAAATCCGGTATTCCACGAGCGGACAAAGCACATTGAGATAGATTGTCATACGGTTCGAGAACGTTTGGACAGAGGTCTCATCAGAATGCTACATGTTCGTACGGAAGATCAAGTGGCTGATATCTTGACTAAACCATTATTTCCTTATCAGTTTGCACATCTACAATCCAAGATGAGTCTTCATAATATATTTGCCTCCTCTTGAGGGGGACTATTGGATTGTACCGGTTACTTGCATTTTGGTTTATTTAGTCTAGATAAACTCTGGTTTATTTGACTGGTTTAGTTTAGCTACACTTGTATATATTGACAATTGTACAGCTTTACTTTCTTAAGAAATAAGAATCTTTTTCAACAAACTTTCTCTCAAGCTTATCTCGCTCTTTCTTGTAACAAGTCTGCCAAGGTTTGGATTTTCTATACCCGGTAGAGTCAGAGAATACCTCTACAACCGAATCCAGCACCAATTCATCAACAGGACGACTTTCTTCTATTTTCTTCCACCGTTCTAGCTTCTTCGCATCTTCATGTATTGAATGGATCTTTCTTCGGCCAGTTAACGCAAATGGAAGAACTACACCCCTCTCTGCTGCTGATGTGCTCCTCCTGCATAGATAGTCATATCTGGAAACTCGGCCGGCAGTTGTTACCGTTGGCAGTGAATTGGTCAGTACATTATTGCAACTTCGGTAAAAGAAAAGAGAAGAGAGTAAACCAGGAACCCGAGCTCTCGTGTACCACCCCACCATATCAACACACGGCCGGAAAACCATATCAAACTTATTGGAAAATCGAACCCCTGGTTGATGCTACTGTTTAAATAGGAAGTCCTTTTTTTTTTCTCTTCCTTTTCTTATCAAAGTTTTTTCCATTTTTCGTCTTCAAAAATTTCCTTTACTTATCGTAGAGAAATTGGTTTGCTTTCTCTCCAAGGAACCTTTAACTTTTCTTTTTTTGAAGTTTGAACAAATCATCAAAAGCTTTACCAACAGATTCATTTTTTTTTTTAACACGGCTTTTAGGAGCTGGTAGATGTATAAGTCTTGTTCAAAATTCGAAATATTTTACATTCTCTCATTGTTTGCTTAGATAGGGCATTGAATTAATTATATAAAAAAAACCCTAGAGGAAACCACAACATGATTTTTTACTTATAGATTATTAGCGTGCTCCACTAGAGAGAAAGTTAAACTATATAGTATTCGTCGTCCCAAGTCATTTCGTTTTTTTAGTTTTTATACAAAAGCAAAAGATTCTTTAGATTAAGCTGAATCTCAACCTTTTTAAGAATCTTGTTCTGCTTTTAGCCTTGGACAGGCCATAAACAATCCTAGTATCTTTGAGCTTACCTTCGGACAAAGCAGCAAAGGAAGACAACTCCAAGGCATACGGTCAATCCTATTATCTTTGATCGGATAATCAAGTTGCGGAGGGAGACTACTCGCTGCCCCAAGCCGATTTTATATTGTGACGTTCCAAGATCTCAAATTTGCCTTTTTAGCAGATTCATAGTTGAGTACCATAACTTTGTCATTTTCCAAGTCCAACCTCAGATCTTTGCCACAACATCCCTCTATCAGTTCACGTAAGTGTTTTAAATTCTTTACCTTCACTCCGTTTACTTTTTCCACCTGTTCCCACCATAAATATATTTTCTTTTAGCGAAAGACCAATTAATAAATGATTGGTGTTTGGGATTCATCCAAGAAGTCTCATAAATAAATTACCTGTAAATCTTTGAAATTACTGTATCCTTTGTTAATGTCATCTGGCATTACCTAAAATATAAAAAGGGAAATATTATTTGTTTTAAATTCGAAATAGTTTACATGCTCATAGTCTCATTGTTGACAAAATTAAGGGACGGAAAAGAACTACTACTAGCAAAAAAATATCTTAGTAGCTCAAATAATTATCATCATTCTTTACAATAAACTAATATTCAGCTTGGCACTGAGCTTAAAAGAGGATTTAGTATTGTGGACAAAGAAAAGCAAACCTGAGAGATTATGACTTGTTGTTCATCGGTAATTTTGTACTCATCATTTAATACACATTCTAAGCTCAAATCATCAATGTACGATTTAGTGAGAGGCACAAAAACAAAACCACCGAATATGTAATAACTTGGAAGGTTATATAATATTGTTGCACTTGCATGTGTGGTTTCACCTGACAACAGTAAAACATAGTTCAAACAAAATGCGAACTAATATAGCCAACAATTTGGAAAGGAGTCATAAAATTTTGATTACAAATGAGGACTTACCGGCTTTAAACTGATATTGTATTCATGCTCTTTTCCCTTCCTTAGAACCTTTACTAAGATTTTTTCATCTGGTTTCTTCATAGAAATAAAATGATTGAAACTTATTCGTTCCTCATTTCGAAAAGGACCTGCATCAAACATAGTCTCACTTAATAGTAAACATGGAAAACATTAAGCGATGTAAAAAATATATATAGTTTATATTACATGTTTCATCATTTCCTATTGGAACACCATCAATTGCGAGAATGATGTCATCTTTTCTCAGAATTTTGTGAGCCCCCGACGATGAGTTTATTTTGTTTATAAGAATTCCTGTCGTTTCAGGGCTCATCTTAAAATGATTACGAATTTGAGCATTTTCCATTGACTGACATGATAGAACTAGTGAGCCGAAAACAGCGTTATGGGAGCTTTCTTCTGCACCAGTTATGAAATGTCTAATTATTGGGGTTGGGATTACGACACTGCATGTGAAAACCAAAGAGAGAGAGAAAAAAAACGTCAGGGAAAATATATGCAAAAGTGAAGGTTGCACCTCTTGATCTCAAATGTAAGCAAAACTATATCAAACAACTTACCCTGTACTTTTCTCATCTCCAAGATCTTGAAATACTACACCAACGACTTTGTTTCCTGTAATAACCGGGCCACCACTATTTCCATCGTTGGTAGTTGCGTCAATTTGTATTGTCAGTAGTTTAGTGGAACTTTGAAGGTAATTTCCAGTTTTAACTCCAGTTACAACACCTTTTGTAACGCATATTGTTTCACCAGCTACATTTGAGCAAATAATGAAAGCATAATATATAAGAGCTAGTTTCATTAATTATCAACAAAAAAATTTCCGTAATTTAATAAACATGACTTGCAAGCATGATGATTTATTGGATGCTATGCAGTATTGGAACTCATACGAAAATAGAAACGTGAGTTGAGCTTGAGCACATTAATTCTCGCTCGTAACCAAAGCAGAATAAAAGTTTCATAATTTTAACATAGTTTCTTGGTATATTGTAATATGAATTATAGACCATAGGAAACTAGGGCAAACATCTATCTATTACCATGCTTTATACTCATATGATAGTTTGAAACATTGTCAAGAATAAATACCTTCTGGATAACCAACAACATATACAATTTCATTGAGAGGCGGTATGTCTCCGAACTCCAAGGGATTCATACCCTTCCAAAACTCGTCGCTATCGATCTCCAAGATGGCCAAATCACACTCATGTGCAATCTTTTGAACTTTTGCTTTGTATTTGACTTGAGAGCCATGTCTTTTCACGTGCACGAATGTGTGATCATTCATCACCTCCACCACATGAGCGTTCGTAAGAATTTTCTTTCCCGCGATTGCAAATCCTAAAAACATCAATTTACAGCCAAAGTAACGCATAAAAAAAAACCTTGATGTGAGCTTTGAGATAAGTATAGTCACATACCAGAGCCCCCATATGATTCTTGGTTAAGAGTCTGCCAAGGTTTGACTTTGCTATACTCGGTAGAGTCAGTGAAGACCTCTACCACCGACTCCAGCATCAATTCATCAACGGGAGGACTTTTTTCTATTTTCTTCCACCATTCCTCATCCTTCGACATGGTATGGATCTTTCTTCCGCGAGTTAATGCAAACGGAAGAACAATATTAGCGATCCGGCTAGAGATTGTTACCGTCGGGAGTAGAGCTCTCGAGTACCGGGACACCATACCAACACACGACCGGAAAAGCATATTGATAATTCATCTTAGTGAAAACTCGAACCTGTTTATTTCTTGTTGATATATACTAGTGTTTAATATAAATTGCCCTTTTTCCTTTTAATTATTTTCCATTTTTTTGCATGAAAACTTTCCTTCATCTATAATTAGAGTAAATATCTAGAGAAAATTGGTTTCCTTTTTCTTTCCAAGGAACTTTCTTTGAACTGAAAGAATATTTATACATATTCAAAAGTTTATAGCTAACAAAAATGTTGGTAGTACTGTTAAAGATGTTAAATACAATGGTAATTGTATTACAATGTCTTTATAAGAAGAAAAAAAAAACCATTAAACTTGAAGAATGTGGTCTTGAATAAACACAGGAATGTTTGTAGGATTTAGGTATTTACAATTATAAATACAAACATCTAAGCCCGTCTAGCTCAGTTGGTAGAGCGCAAGGCTCTTAACCTTGTGGTCGTGGGTTCGAGCCCCACGGTGGGCGCATTTTATTTTTGGCAATTCTCTGAAGGAAGGAACATTAAAAAATTGGGCGTCACAAAGGTTTGAATTCAACTTAGAGTGCAAAGACTTAGTAATGGGCCGTATGGGGGAGATTACTTGGGCTACCTTGAGAATTTTGGCTCATGAGGTCAAGAAATACTGAGAGGATTAATTCGAGAAGTATTCCCCCTTTCGTTTTACATTTTAAGATGTTGATGTGTGAAATTAGTTATGAATATTTCTTATTAGTCCTAAAAGAGTTATTAAAGTTAACTACCAAAAAAAACAGAGTTATTAAAATTTTAGAACTCTATAAAGTTTCGGGCTTCTTAATAATGAAACACTAAAAGGATAATGATAATGATAATAAAGTACTTTTATTAAAAAAAGAGAAATTTTTCATAATTCTCTAAAGATTTTCTGACCAATTGTCCCTGTATTAAAACCAATATTTGCGTTTTTACTACATAACTAGATATTGACCCGCGGTACACCGCAGGTTGATATTTTCTTTAGAAAGTTAGAAATTTTTATTTTAATTAATATTATTTATATATGAATAACATATCCAATAGGTACACTTAGGATCTATATTTTTATTAAATAAAAAATTGATTTTTTTTTGTTTTTAAGATGATCTATAGATATAGGCTATTGTTTTTTTTAATGTATGGTACACCTCGGAATGATTTTATAACTAAAAACTACATTTAATTTTCAATTGTATTTGTTTTGTTTGGTGTTTAAAATTATATAATTATATTTTGATTGTTAATTCTAGGGTTTCACCATAGTATATCATCTCATAATAATATCGATCCAAACCCGTCCCATATAACCCTGTCCCATGAATTAAACATCCTTTTGTTATTTTCTTATAAAGTTCAAATATTTATAATATTTGAAACTTCAAAAAAGTTTTAATATCGATCCAAACTTTAAAATTATTTTTTGATTATTATATCTAGGATTTCACCCATAGTTTACAGTACCATATTAATATCGATCCAAACCCCTCCCACCATATAACCCCGTCCCATGAAATTAAACATTATTTTGTCATTTTCTTATAAAGTTTAATATTTATAATATTTGAAACTTCAAAAAAAAAATATTTAATCTAAACTTTATAATTGTATTTTGATTGTTATATCTAGGATTTCACCCGTAGAATATAATTCCGTATTAATATCGACCCAAACCCGTCTTACTATATAACCCCGTCCCATGAAATTAAACATTATTTTGTCATTTTCTTATAAGTTTTAAAAATTTCTATTATAATAATGGAAACTTCAAAAAAAAAATTAATATCGATCCAAACTTCATAATTTTATTTTGATTGTTATATCTAGAATTTTACCCGTGGTATATCGTCCCATATTAATATCTTTTTAAGTATTAATAATATTTAAATTTATAATATTTAAACTTCTTATAAAGTTCAAATATTTATAATATTTAAATCTTTATAAAAGTTTAAAAATTATAAATATTTAAAACATTTTCTAAAGCTTAACTTTTAAAAAGTTAAATATTTATAATATTTTGAAACTTTTTAAAGTTTCAATTCTTAAAAAAAAATAAATACCGGAGTAAACTGATTAACACTCTTAATTTTGGATGTCTAATAAATCAAGCCTCCTGCTCATTCGTATTAAGAATCATTTTGATCATTTTTATAGTATGACTCTGAACCATTGTCCAGTTTTTTAAGCAATGTGGGACCTTGTACACATATTTTGTTTTCTTCATTGATTGAGTAATATATGTCAGTTTTTTAAAATTTGAATTACATCATATGCGGAAAAAATCTAATATTTATTAATTAGATGTATTTTTATATAAAATCAAATAAATTAGATATAAGAACAAATAAAAGTGAAAGAAGAATTTATAAATTTATATTTAATGTAGGTAAAGAGAGTTTAGGAAATTAGCAACTAATTGAATGTAGTGCAATAAAGATAAAATTTAATTAAGGATATAAATTTAAGATAATATCTTATTGGAATAGATTTTGTAGGGACTAAAAACTAAATAGTATTTACTTTTAGGACAAAAATTTCGCTGGAGGATATATAATGTAATAACTCAATTGTAATTATTCATAAATTGGACATTAAGAAAGGAAACTATTTATGTAAGTGTTTAATGTAGATTGATGATATGTAAGTTTTCTACTTTAGAATATTTTGTTTAGATATATTTTGTAAGGACTTGAAAGTTAATAATAATTTCTTTAGGGATTTTTTACAAAATCTTTACCAAAAATGTATGTGTAGATCTAAAATTAATTAATATCATTTAATCCAATAATCATGATACAAAATTGTGTTACCTTTTTAATGGAGTGTAAAATATATAAATAACATGGTTCTTCTCCTAAACTGCAAAGGGAAGATCTCGTTGACTCCCCAAAAAACACCAAAAAAAACAAAAAAACCAAAAAAAGAAACAGAGCTAATGGTTCCGCTTCCACGGGAGCTAGAGGAAGATATACTCTCTCGGCTTCCAGCTCAATCTCTTGTTCGATTCAGATCCGTTTGCAAACGTTGGAATGCTCTTTTCTATGAAAAGGGTTTCATCAACCACCACTTTGCTCGCGCTCGTCCTCAGTTCATCTGCATGACCAATTCCAATATTTATTCGATAGATATCATCGGTCTCGACGGCGTAGATCCTACGATTAATTTGCTTGATCTGCCTTCTAAACCTTACTACCGGAAATTGGATTTTAACTGCATAAGCATCACTACTTGCGATGGGTTCTTGTTTTGTAACTCTTTCCCAATCGCCTTCGTTTTCTTTTGCCCGGGGATGACCAAGGGGACAGCGCTCTGGAATCCGTGGTTGAAACAGGTTAAATGGAACGATTTTGAGGATAAAGATTTTGATGCCTGTGGCTTAGGATACGATAATACTAGAGACGAAAAGGTTTACAAAATCTTGGGGTCTTTTATATATGTGTCGTCGTGAAGTTGCGATATACGATTGTACCTCTCAAGCGTTCAAGTTTATTGATACACCTAACGAGGACTGGTCCATAACCGATGTTCAACGATCCAGTGTGTCCTTGAACGGAAATCTCTATTGGATTTCTCCTATTCCCGTCAAATTTGATTTTTGTGAATTTCTCATCCGAAGCTTTGATTTCTCGAGGGATATATTCAAACCCTTTTGTCTCCTTCCGTGTCGGAAGATGGATTTTTGCGATTTACTTGTCCTCCAAGTTTTCAATGAAAATAGGTTATCCTTGTTAAAGCAATGTTATAAGACAAGGAAGGTTGAGATTTGGGTTACGAAGAAGAAGATTGATTCTAGTAACTACAACAGTGGGGAGGAAGTTGTGTGGATTAGCTTGTTGACTTTTCCATCAAGTAACTTGCCAAACCTATGTAATAAGCGTTACGACATTAGTTACTTCATCTATGACAAGACCACCCTAATCATGTGTTGTGGTGACGATGGAGGTGGAACCCCTTGCATCTATATTGTCAGGGGAGATTTCTTCAAGAAGATTCAAATTAACTCTGGGGTTTTCCGGTGTTGTCACTGTATTTATGCTCCCAATTTCATCCCGGTTCCTTTAGGTTCAGATTGCAAGCCTAATAATTTTATCACATTTTCTTGAATCTTGTTCATGTCTCTACTTTCTTAGGGTTTAAGTCAGTTTGCTTTAAACCTTGTATGAAATTGTCTTGATAATAAATTTATACTATCTCAAACATTGCTGATCAACACACTTTCACTTCGAACTTAACCAAAAGGTTTGTAACCGTTGAGTCAATTTTACAAATATACGTAAGAAATGTAAAAGTTGTGAATAATAAGGTGCTTTTAAATAAATACTCAATTCAACATATATTTCACTAGTAGTTAGCCAATTGACAAAACCGATTCAGTCTATGTTACAACTTACAATCCAAGGTAATAAAACCAAACCGACTAATCACCCAAAAGGCCAAAAAAAAAATCATCATCAAAATCACACGAACGTAGAAGCCTTTGAGGTACGTTGATCGGTACCTAGAGTGATTACCATTATCGTTACATCGTCATGATATCTATCTCCTTCTCCGACCAGCCGGAACATTCGTCAATTCTTCCAATGTAAATGATTCGCCATGATATCTCCTACATCAAAGTGTTTCTTTTGTCATATAGATCATGAAGTTTCCACACATTCGTTGAAGTAAACATTTAAAAAAAGCTTCTACCAGCACGAGCAGCAGCTTTAGCTACAAGACGTTCAAGCAGAAACTTTGACTGTGTGAAATTAGTTATGAAAAGTTTTTTTTTTTTTTTGAATGTGTAATTGATTGATCCAAAAAAGAATCTTATGTTACAATGAGTAGCTAATGGAGAAACTAAAAGAAATAAATTAAAACAGAGCCAACAACAAACTTTAACGTATCCAAAACAGAGGAGATTATGTGATTGGCGAAACTTCAAACCAAGTTATGATGGGTTCTTATTAGTCCTAAAAGAGTTATTAAAACTTTTTTAGAACTCTAAAAAGTTTCGGGCTTCTTAAAAATAAAACACAGAAATGATAATGATAAAGATTTTCTGACCAATTGTCCCTCTATTAAATCATTATTTGCTTATTTTTTTACTATATAATCTAAAATTAATTAAAATCCTTTGATCCAATAATCATGATAACAAAATTGTGTCACTTTTCTAATGGAGTATAAAATAAAATAATATAGTTGTTTCTCTTCTCCTAGGCTACTACAACTACAAAGAGAAGATCTCGTTGACTCCCCCCAAAAAACCAAAAAAAGACAGAGCTAATGGTTCTGCTTCCATGGGAGCTGGAGGAAGATATACTGTCTCGGCTTCCACCTCAATCTCTTGTTCGATTCAGATCCGTTTGCAAACGATGGAAATCTCTTTTTGATGAAAAGAGTTTTATCAACAACCACTTTGCTCGGGTATGTCCTCAGTTCATCTTCATGACCAAATCCAATTTTTATTCGATAGAGATCATCGGTCTTGACGGAGTTGATCCAACGATTAAGTTACGTGTGCTAGACTTCTCCGGCATCCCTTACCGTGAATGGAAATTTGTTTGCATAACCATCACTGCTTGCGATGGGTTCTTGTTTTGTAACTCTTGGACTTATCCCCTGGAGACAGCTTTTTGGAATCCGTGGTTGAATCAGGTTAAATGGATCGAGTACGAGGATATAGGTTTCAATGTCTGTGGCTTAGGATACGATAATACTAGAGACGAAAAGGTTTACAAAATCTTGGGGTCTTTTATGTGTCGCCGTGAAGAGAGGCCCTCTTACGATTACCACCCGAGAGTTGCGATCTACGACTGTGCCTCTCATGCGTTCAAGTTTATTGAAACACCTAACAGGGACTGGTTCCTAGGCGATGTTCAACGATACAGTGTGTCCTTGAACGGAAATCTATATTGGGTTCCTAGTATTCCCAACACGGATGACTTTCTCATCCAATGCTTTGATTTCTCGAGGGAGATATGCAAACCCTTTTGTCTCCTTCCGTGTCGGAAGTTTGATTCTTCCGATTTACTTGTCCTCCAAATTTTCAAGGGACATAAGTTATCCTTGTTAAAGCAATGTTACAAGACAAGGAAGGTTGAGATTTGGGTTACGAAGAAGAAGATTGATACTAGCAACAACAGTGAAGAGGAAGTTGTGTGGATTAACTTGTTGACGTTTCCACCAAGTAACGTGCAAAACTTATTTAAGGAGTGTTATGGCATTAGTTACTTCATCTATGACAAGACCACCTTAATCATTTTTTGTGTGACGAAAAAACTTCAGCGGCTTGCATTTACATCGTCAGGGGAGATTTGTTCAAGAAGTTTGAAATTGATTATAAGGTTTTCATTTGTTATCACTGTGTTTATGCTCCCAATTTTATCCCCCTTCCTTTAATGTAAAAGTTCTGAATAATAATAAGATGCTTTTAGTGTTTCACATTAAGCTCTCAATTCAACTTTTATTCCACTACTAGTTTAAACCAATTGACAAAACCGGTTCAGTCTATGTTACAACTTACAATCCAAGAAATTCTGAGAGGATTAATTCGACGTATTCCCCATTACGTTTTACATTTTAAGATGTGTGGAATTAGTTATGAAGTGTTCTTATTAAACTTTTTAGATTTCTTAAAATAAAGAACTCTTCATAACTAATTATTTATCATTTCTTAAAAATAAATACACAGAAATGATAATGTTAATAATTCCCTTATATCATAAATTCCTTATATGCTTTTTTTTTTACTAATAAATCTAAAATCAATTAAAATCCTTTGATTCAATAATCATGATAACAAATTTTTGTCACTTTTCTAATGGAGTATGAAATAGAATAATACATAGTTATTTCTCTCCAAAGGCAACATCAAATCTTCATATTTAATTTGAGGTTTCTTGTTCTCCAAAGGCAACCTTAGAACCTTGAAATTTGAGGTTTCATTTTTTATTCATTTTGGTCCTTACAAATATTTATGTCTTACAGATACTCTTACTAATTTATTATTCTATCATGTTAGTCCTTAAATTTTATGTCTTTTTTTGATGTATGGAGAGGAAGTTGTGTGGATTAGCTTGTTGACTTTTCCATCAAGTATCTTGCCAAAGTTTTGTGGCATTAGTTACTTTATCTATGACAAGACCACCCTAATTCTGTGTTGCGGTGACGATGAAAGTAGAACGGCTTGCATCTATATTTTGAGGGGAGATTTGTTCAAGAAGATTCAAATTGACTCTGGGTTTTTGTTTTCCCGGTGTTGTTACTGTGTTTTTTTTTTTTTTTTTTTTTGTGCAAAGTGTTGTTACTGTGTTTATCCTCCCAATTTTATCCCGGTTCCTTTAGGTTCAGACTGCAAGCCTAATAATTTATTCGGATTTTCTTGAATCTTTTTCATGTCTCTGTTTTCTTAGGTTTATTACCATTGTAAGATGATAAATATATAGACTTACTATCTCAAACATTGCTGACCACACACTTTCACTTCGAACTTAACCAAAAGGTTTGTAACCATTGAGTCAATTTTACAAATATAAGTAAGACATGTAAAAGTTGTGAACAATAAGGTGCTTTTATTGTCACATGATTAAAGATCAGCGTAGGTCACCAACATTATTTCACTAGTAGTTAGCCAATTGACAAAACGGATCACTCTATGTTACAATCCAAGGTAATAAACCAAACCGACTAAACACCCAAAAGGCCTAAAAAAAAAAAAAAACAGAACATATGACTCAGGCTGAGACAAACTGATGAATTCTAGGCTCGCAACTAAGACTACTACAATGATATATATACGGACTATACACTGAAATAATATTATACCAGTTCCAAAGAATTGAAAAAACTGATGATCAGTTCCAAAGTCTAAAGAAGATCAGTGAGACTAATTACAATTTTACCAATCCAACATTTGTCGCCATCATCATCAAAATCACACGAACGTAGAAGCTTTTGAGGTACGTTGATCGGTACCTAGAGTGATTACCATTATAGTCACATCGTCATGATATCTCCTTCTCCGACCAGCCGGAACATTCGTCAATTCTTCCAAGGTAAAACCTAAATCAAAGTGTTTTCTTTTGTCATATAGTAGATCATGAAGTTTGCACACATTCGTTGAAGTAATCTTAAAAAATAAAAAAGCATTCTTACCAGCACGAGCAGCAGCTTTAGCTACAAGACGTTCAAGCAGAAACTTTGCGGGATCACCAGAAGGATTGCTAGAAATGAAGGAATGGACGAGCTCAATCGCTTCCTCGTTGCTGAAGAAATCAAACAAACCATCACTTGCAACTATAACAAAGTGATCTGATTCCGTTATCTTGTGAACTCTCATGGATGGTTCCACTGAAACATAAGGCGGGCTCAAAAGGTTACGAACGCGGAGGATTCCCATGAGTGCATCGTTTAGTTTCTCCTGCAAGTTAATAGAGAATAGCTATTTGATACTTTTTCTTCAAAAGTATAAAATCATAACTTAAGAATAATACTAATACCTTCTTCAAGTAACCAACTCCAAGAGCACGAGTAACTTTAAGCTTTCCTTTGATTTTCCCACCAATAACGATTTTGGGATCATCAAGATGCTCACTTAAGAGTCTAGCTTCTTCGACTTCGTTATCAACTGTGTGATCCTCTGTGAGCTGAATAGCTTGCAGCTTCTTATTACCCTTGTATGTCGCTAGAACAGCTCTGCTATCACCTAGATTAAGGACGTATAGATCCTTCCCAACAAGGAGAGTGACCAAAACGCATGATCCAACGGATACTAAATCCGGTCTTTCTTCCATTTCTTGCTCAACCATCCTTAAGAAATCGATTTCCGCCTGATAAAGCGCACGGTTTAAGCAATCTAGCACTCCTTGCCTGAACAAATCAGTGGAAGAGTAATCTATGTTACTTATATTTGATAACAATTCCAGTTTTTCGCCATCATCATCGGACTTAGTTTGCTTCATTTGACGATCAAGCAACTGAAGATGAAACACAATGGACTCATACAAAGTACAAGCCAAGAAATCAGCAGCATCTCTTCCATTAAATCCATCATAAATAGCGCAAAACAACCAACCGTTCTCCTCAGAGCAAACAGCTTGAACCCTATCTTCCCCTGCAGCACCACCAGCAACTTGAACTTCCATAGCAGAGAGAAGAAACCCTTCATTAACAGAAGAAGGAGAACTCATTGATGTCAAGTAACAAGACTCTGGCTCAGGAGGACTCGGGCTAGTAGACGAGCTACAGCTTAGACTAACCATACTTCCATGGAGAGAAGGAGATAGTATGTCAAGCTTCGAAAGCGCAGGCGAAGAAGGAACTTTCCTGAAAGATTTCGGAGAATCTAGAGACGGCAATATCTCAGAACCAATCACACCATTGCAGATATTGGTATTGGCTAAAGTCGGGTTTCCGCTTAAAGCAGCTCCAGATAAACAAGAGAAACTGCTTGTCTTTTGAAGCCTAAACCCACCAAGAACCTCACGACCATCAGCAATGTTATCTTCAGGGATCCCTATCTTCTTCTTATTATTGCATTGATAACCAAAACTTATCTCAATCTCACCATAAGGATCAGTCCCTTCCTGCATTTTTTTTTCACTTTCTTGAAATGTTCTGAAACAACAAAGATCCATTTACTCATCAAATCAAGATCCACAATTCAAGAAACTTATAAGAGACATATCAAGAACTGTTTTTTTATCAAAGTCTTGGATCCAAAAAACATCAAGTTTAGTCCTATTTTTTTATCTTCCACAGTCCTAATTACAAAAACCTCCCACTTCAAAAAATTTAGCTGCTTTAATGACCATAGAGACAAAATACGTGGTGAGAGTCTAAACACACATCGAAAGTGAAGATAGATGGGGCCAAGATAACGAACAGTTACATAAGTTAAACGTGAGAGTTAAAAAAAAAGTCTTTTATTTTTCATAGGAGGCCATTAAATGCAGACCACAGAAGTTGTTGGCAAATGTTTCAGTATACAGAGATAAACCCAGAAACAGAGAAACATATAGATTGGTTTCATCAAATTTTGAAAATATTCACCGTAACATGGATTATATAACAAAATCTCCTAAACATAGATATATCCATAATTCCATTGATAAGACAAATCAAAAACTCGCAATCCGAATTGAAAAAAAAAAAAAACTAAATCAGATTATGGGAACGAGACATTGAGGATTACCTTAACGTATACGGGAATGGAAAAACCCAAAAGAGAATCGGAGAAGTGAGAAGAAGCGAATTTAGAGAGAAAGAACAAATCAGAGGAGACGAAAAAGACGACGACGAATAAAAATGAGTGAGAGAAGTGAAAAGAGAGAGAAATGAAATTGGATGGAGGAGAAGAGTTAACGAGTGAATGTTTTTGTTTGCTAATTTTGGTAGTCTTTATAATATATAATCGAAATCCCTCCTTTATAATGTTTTTTCTTCTCTCTGTCTTTTTCGTTTTTGATTCGTTGCTTTTTTAGCTTCCTTTCTTTTTCTTCTTTTACCCAAAACAATAATTTTTTATTAGTATTCAGAGGTGAGAGGTCTATTTTAGTATTTTGAAATTTTCTTGCTATTTGCTACATACTTTCAGATATTTTTGGTAAAAGATTTAGACTTATTTTTTGGGTGGTGTTGCACAATTTTTCACTCGTTCATGTCTATGTACAGAGCAAAAATTCATAACTCGTTGGAAAGAAAAGATCAACAAGATATATTTAATTTAGGAGTGAATAGTATGGTATATTAGAGAAAAATCTATGGACGAAAGTGAAAAACGAGGATAGGGTCAACAATTGAAGGCAATAAAGTGTCTTAGTTGACATTTTATCCTGATGATGTCATCCTCAGATCTCTACCGGTAATCTTATATTTTATTCATTCCTAGCTAGCTCTATTATTTTTCTTGGACTGCTCAAAGAACCAATATAATACGATTAAAATTTGCAAGAAGGGGGGGTTATACAAGAAAAAACATTTCAAATGGTAATTCCTAACCCTTGTCATCCTATGAACTTTACTCATATCTTCACTATAGCAAATTTAAGGAAGAGACTCAGGTATAGACTATGAAACTTTTTTTCAGAAATAAATAGGATTGCAGATTTTATTTGTTAATTTGTTTTATTTTTATTTTTCCACCTTGTTAATTAGTTATGATTGAATTCAGAGTGGTAATTTATTATGCAATTTATTTTTTACGGATAACAGGATAAAATAACCCAAGTATGTGACGTTTAACAAAATCTTATCTTTTGGGTACAAGGCTACTAGATGTCGACGTAGCCATTGGCGGACCTATGTGTTAAGGAGGGGGTGCAACTGACCCCCCTAAAATTTACAGAAACTTTGTTTTATATGTTACATGGAAAATGTCTTTGGAATAATTAGTAGTGTTTGACCTCATTAATATCAAAACCTGAGTTCAATGACACCCCTTGCAACACTCATTATTCATTGTTTTTGAAGATAATTTCCTTTTTTAGAATATCTTAATATGCAACACTCATTTTCTCACTTAGTTTACATTTCATTTTCTCTGGAATATAATTAATTATTAATTATCTTCTCTTTCATAATACATCTATTTTCTGTTGCAAGTATTAATCTATTACAAAACATTTTTTCTATGGATTTAAAAAATTGACAAAAATTGTAGTTAACACCAAATACTTTCATACAATAAGTATATGTGATTAAGCATACTGTAGATGATTTAATTTTAATATTTGCATTACTATTATCGAAATATGGTATCATCTTAAGAAAATTTTAAAAATTAGGTTATATATAAATATTAAAGAAAAAAAAATTATCGATAATATATATATATATAATCTTTTAGTAGTATATATAAATAATATACTTTAAATTATTTATATTTTTGACCCCGGTAATATTATTTTCTGGGTCCGCCACTGGACGTAGCGTAACGTAACATATCATAGTTGCCGCAAACAGAGACGTAAGGAAGTAAATTATTAATAAGTAGATAGATACATAATAAATAATTTAAGCGGTAAGCAAAAAATCGAGAATGTTTATGAGTTAGTTCGCATGACGTACGTAAAAAAGGGGAGCAGATCTAACATTTTGCATCTCTGACTATATTATATAGAGTTTAATCCAAAGTTGTTAAATCGTATCAAGAAGCAACACGAAAACTATTAAACAATAAGACGAAAACAAAAATCCTCTATAATTTTGTAGATTTTTTTCTCGAATAATTGACTTGGTGAATTGAGCTAATAACCTAGCTTATAGCTTTCACACCTGAAAAATCAATTTCGATTTTTTGCATATTCAGAAAGTCCCATCAACCGCAGACCGGTCAGGCTTAACCGGTGTTATTCATCAAAAACTCTGCCGATTGATTCAGTTTGGTAACCAAAATTACGTTCATCGCATCCATGAATATTTTTGCCTACCTAAGGTTAATTTAGTAAGTAACAAGTAAACCAAACCGATGCATGAATAAAAATCTAGGACCAAATGTCCGGTACGATTCTCCAATACCAAAGAGTCAATATAGTAATACTAATTAAGAGGCTGAGTGGAAGATAATATCACATCAATATCATATCATATACGACTTATCAATGATAGAGAGAGTCGTTTAAGAGATTGATAAATACCCACAAATACAAATTTATGGCTGTTGAGCACAGGAGAAGCTGCTTGCTGTTGAAGCCAACTGATGAAAACAGTCGTCCTCACTATAATTCCCTTCCTGAAAATGACATTTGATGACAATTCCATTTAGCTTACGTACCGGTTTTTGGCTGTTTACAATGAATAAGATAGATCTCGGTTTGTCTTTATCACCGCGATTTTTCAACTATACATAATACATTATTCAGTTTCTGCAAGCTATTGTCTTATGTGTATCTAATGAAAGCTCTTAAGTCTCTTAAACCACAGAACCTGGGATTATTTTCTTTGCTAACATCTTAGCGAGACAGTAATATGTATAGACCGGGGATTAATTATAAAATAGGATTGTTCAGGGACTGACAGTAAAAACTACAGTGGTTTAAGACTAAGAACTAATGGGACTACTAATATTTATCGTTATGAAATAACGGTATCAACAAGTAGGGAGTGATCAGGATTACCTTGACTTATAGTATATCTACCGTATAGAAACTGGAACCCATAAGAGTATCAAGATGCAATGCTGTAGAAAACTTTCGTTATTCCTTTCTTTGTTCTCATCTGTGTGACCTTGAAAAACAACAAGGGAAGTGTACCCAGAAAGATGCAATTTTAGAAAACAGAAAACAAAACTAGGAAACTACAAAAAGAAAAGATATCTACTTGAGACTGGTATATTGGCTGTGTACCTTCATGGCTATGATATCAGATAAATCGGAGACATGGGTTCCACCACACGGACACCCGGGGCTGTCACCTAATTTTATGATCCGGGGAGTGCTGCCCTGAAAGAGTGAGATGGCTCAGAGACATTCCCTTTGCTATCCAATTTTCATTGCTTAACTGACTAGCTTACTCTAACTGTGTAGTGTGTACCTATTACCAGACACTGCATTATGGTAAGTACCTTAGGTTCTTCCAGATTTTTTACTAACATAGATACCAAATAGATGATCTAACTTTTAAGACAGAGCAGGAATTGATATATAAAATGGTGTATCCATCCATGGTTACAATTTACTTAACAAAGCCAAATATAATTACATCATTTAAAGAAAAGCCACTGCCTCTATATGAATTGACTGCAAATTTCTGATATAACTAAAGATCAACACTGCTACAGTGCTACTCCTATACGAACTAACGTAATCTAAGGATATGTCTAGGAAAAATAGAAATCTGTATGCTGACTTGAGGTGTATTAGCAATGGAAGAAAGAGTTTCTATATTTGCAAATACCTTGGAAATATAATCAGGAAGATTGCCACCACAGAGCACAGATGCCTCTTCATAGGGTAATATAGCAGCATAAACCTTATACAGTGTATAAGAATCATTGTTATGTTTATTAAAAAGCATAACACAAAGTCGAAGAAATCCAAATACGATAAAGAGCTCTGAGGACTTACCTTTCCTCCTTTGGTTATCAGGTCATTAGCTTCTGCCTCCAACTCTTTCTGCTTCACTGCCATCTGACCCTGTGGAACGCTTCCTTTGTATTCTACAAATGGACTGATGGCATTATAGTTAGATCACCGTTTTTATTATCACTACGTTTAACAAAAGTTGCAAAGAGGCAAGCGGATGACAAATCCTTTAAACGAGATTCTTACCCGTCCGGAAAATGGTACCCTTTTCCAGGCTCCAAATGCCCTAACCCAACTTTCTGCATACACAAATCTAGCAAATGTCCAGCTGAGTGCAACCTGATCATAAAAAAATGTTAAACTTCAAAGATAGAGTCCAGGCTAAACAATAACAATGCAACAACTAAAAAACAGCACAACTCAGAATCTATATTTCAGAAATTTGTTGCTATCATGCTATGCATAACAATGAGAAAAATCATCAACAGCCTATATTTAAATTCTGAAGATTTCCACAAGCAGATTACAATACTGCATCACTAGTGAATATCATATAACTCAAAAAGAAACAAAATTCACTGAAAATCTGCACTAGAAAATGTTCCTAAAACATAATAAGTATGTATCCAACATTTTCCATTCCAAAACTACAATCATTCATCTAACTAGCTTTCTCTTTGTAGAATTACACTAACTATACTATCTAATCAAATTCAATCAAACATCATCTTGCCTGGAATTGAGTTTACGCCTTGATTCATCAACAGTTACGTAAACTTCTTTCCCTTTCTCAATATCCATTCCACTCTCAGGATTCGAACCTTCGAAAACTCCGTAATGGAGAACCTACGATTTCAAAATCGAAAAACACACACATCATTACAAATTCCGAAAAGACTATAAAAACATCTACACTAAGCACTTAAACGGGAAACGATCAGGATAGAGATTCAAACTTACAATTCCGTCTTTCGATCGAACATCTTGAACGGAAAACTTGAAATCCGAACCGGAGAAAACAATTAAACCGGTGTCTGCCGGCTGGCCACCACCTTGTGGATGAAACAACGTCGAGTCCAGTATTAGAGCTATGCGTCCATCTTGCGCCTGAATCAGAGAGTGAAGGATTCAGCATTGAAGTAAACAAAAGAGGTTCAGATGACAGTTACTATGAAGATAGACCTTAAATACGGAGATAAATCTGGATTGAGATTGAAGATTGAACATGTCTACATGATAATCAAGCTTCGTCGGAGGAAAATCCATGGTAGTTCCGATTTCCGACGGCTTCGTCGCGGTGAACGAGGGAGTGACCAAAGTATTGAAATCTCTAGACTACGCGGTCAACAGTCAACGAAGAAACTTTTTAGTTTACACGTCTGTGTATTTGTCAAATTTGACTAAAGCCGTTTTCCAGATATTTTACGAATTGCAATTTATTGTTGGGCCTTGATTGTTTGGGCCTTTTTAGATGCAGTCTTGAAAATATTATGGAGTAGACAAAAGGGAATTATTTTTATTATTTTCATCACACAAATTTCAGTAGATTTAATATCTTTAGTTGAGAACAAATTTTTGTGTAAATAAATTACTTGTATATTATTTTGAAGAGTCAACGCGTAAATCGGTGTGAACGTAGAATTTTGTACTCACACATAAAAACATAAAATTGCAACGACTAAAAAGTCTAAAACCTTCGGATAAGAATCCAAATATTAACGAGTTTTTTATCCCAAAAAAATCCAAATATTGCTCATTGCTCAAGTACCGGTGGGCTGGGTCCAATCCCTCTTGTAAACCATTTTCTCATTTCTTTGTGGCGGCGTGGCGCTGCGCCTGATATGGTTTTAATTGTGTCCATTTTGATTTTCTTTTTGGTTTTTACAATTAGTTACAAACTTATAATGTCCATTTTGATGAAATTAGAAACCACAAATATGAACAATACACAAGAGATGTACATTAAACTCCCTTCATTAATATATGTTGGCATTTTAATAGGTAGTTTTTTTCTTCTTTGAAATGATCTCAAATCATGAAAGAAGACCAATCATAATTGTACAAAATAAAAAGTAAATGCGTTCTATATTACTCTTATCTAGCTTTGTACTATTTTTTTTTTTAATTTCTTGTTAGTACTTAGTACCTTGAAAAATAAGCAAAAACATAAACATAACTTTTTATTCACTTATAATTTTGTAGAAAAGAACATTATATTTCTACTTATGACTCCTATTTAAAACATTATACTTTCCCAAATAAATTAGCGAAATGTAAATTATTCATTTATACTTTCCCTTTTTAAAATTGTGTGGATGGGTTGGTGAATATGATTTTAGTAAATCGTAGAGTGACCAACAAAAAATCTGTTTTTAAAAAGAAAAAAGATAATTAGTGCCTTAGTGGATGTCTCCATCAAAAACACTTGGCGCATTAAAACATCCTTAGATCTGAAGTTAACAAAAGCCCACTTGTAAAGCTGTCTATTTACGACACCCTTTTAAGTCAAGTGGCATTATTCGTAATTAGACTCATCTTCTAGTGGCATTTCAATAAGCTTCTTCTCTTTTAAAACCTTTTCCTTTATCTCTCTCTCTCTTTCTTCATAGTTCGTGCACAGTGAGAGAGAGCTAAAGCTACAGTCTACAGAAAAAAATGAGAGGACTCTCCAGAAACTCCGGCGCGGCGGCGATTTTCGCGATTCTAGTAATCCTCACCGTTCAATTCTGGTCCGTCACCGTATCTTCTCAATCCATCGAATTCGCCGGAGATTTCCCTCCATTCGAAACAGAGTGTCGTGGTACAATTGCCGAGTGCTCAGTCTCCGCCGCTCTAGGCGAGGACGGAGATCTATTCTACGGCGGAGGAGAAATGGGAGCGGAGTTCGAGATGGACTCAGAGATCAACCGGCGCATATTAGCGACGAGAAGGTACATCAGCTATGGTGCGCTGAGGAGAAACACTGTTCCGTGCTCACGTCGCGGCGCATCTTACTACAATTGTCGACGTGGCGCTCAGGCCAATCCTTACTCTCGCGGTTGCAGCACCATCACTCGCTGCCGGCGCTGAATCTGTCACTGTCTTCACTGTAATTTCTTTCTTCTTAAAATTCTTTTTCTTTTTTCTGATATATAATTTTTCAGAAATTTCTCTTTTTCTTTTGTTATGGTTTATATTTATAAGTTCATTGCGCATTAGAGTTTTCTCATACACATATAATTGTATCTGTAAATGTTTCTGGGAATTATCTCTATTATTGAATATTGATGTAAGTTTGTTTACATAAACCAGGAAAAAATTATGGAATAAATACATTATAATTAATAGTATCATCAGTGATAAACGAATGTGTTTAAGTAATTTTGTATTTAAGTGGAATATTGATAGCCAGGTAATTCGTATTATATATGAATATTGTATATGGATTTTTTCGAATTCATGGATGCATGCATGTGCCGGAGAAATGCCAGATGCTAGAAAAATAAAATAAAAATTCTAATTTATGATCTCTAACTAAAAAATACTAATAAACTAAGTATTTATTTTAATTTTATTTTGCGACTATTGATGGAAAATAAAGAGGCGATAATAGGATTTGGTTGGGAGCCAACTAAAGCCAGCTTCACGCATCTCTTTCGGCAGAGCCACACGTGTAGGATAATCTGTAATGTTGATTTTGTTATATGATACATTTTGCACACTATGAATTAATAACATGAATTTCTTCTATATGAAAATTTGTTGTCACGGGGACTCCTACCTATAAGCCAAACACATAAGCGCTTCGTGATGAACGAAATTGACTATTACCAAAAAAAAAGGTTGTTGTAGCCTTGTAGGAAAATATTGAAAGAAAAAGAAAAACGTTACATTAATTTAAAAGAGAAAACAGATGTTTAAGGTCCCATTTGAAACATTCAATTTCACAACTAACAATTCAATTAGAGATACTTTTGATTTATTGCACTCAAAATCTAACGGGCCTTATACTTCCTCTTGTCACATTTTAACATAACTATACAAGAAGATAATAAGTTAAAATCACCAAAAGTTTGGACCACTACTTCCCCATCACTCACTGGACAGCCAAGAGGTAAACAATCTCGTCACCGATTGTTATACATTTTGAATTATTATATGTAAATATTGATCCAATAATGAAGCTCATACATACAATAATTTTATATAGATGTAATAAGTCTCTATCGTGTGCATATGAACAAGAAACGACAAGGACATCTTCCGCATCCTTGTCAAGCGGACTTAGCTTTCCCACACACTTTACAAATTCTCTCTTGCGAATAGCATTGTTTAAATTTTTATTTCTTTTGGTAGATTCAATACAAATGGTCACATCAAAATTCTGCAGCTGGCATTTGATATTTTATTGTTACTTTGGGATCAGTGAACTATTAATATATTTGGATATTAAAAACACGAGTTTATGTACCTACCATCTATTCATATATCAGGTAAATAAAATACACGATGTGATTCCAATGGAGTATAGATCAAGCAACGACTCTTTGGACCACTAGACTTGTATGAGCTATCTCAAGCGATGGACTCGGATCGGCCCAATGCTAGTCAAACATAGATAACCGATTCAAAATTATAAACCATGATGAGTTTTTATATATCTCTTAGATTTGGTCCAATAAGTAAGTACAAACTTAATCCTTTAAACCAACCAAACATCAATCTCAAGAATTTCATAGTTTTCTTCGGCAAATGCTGCCAATTAAGCTTTGATAATAACTTGTGTGTGTGAACCGTTTTAAACCTGAATGAGAAGAAGCAAAAATATCAACTATAACAGTGTCATTATGTTTGTTAACAAGAATACTAGTGTTTTGCAAAACAAACCAAGAAACAAGATTACAAGACTAAAACCCTCCACGCAGATAAATGTAGTTGTTTCTACTTGTAAAGAGCAACCTAAAATTCTTTAAGTTGATCGAGTAGCTCATTTGCTGCTTCATACCTTATCACCTTTCCAAGAGCGTTTTCGAGGTGGCAATATGCGGGAAAGGTGGAAATTGGAAAACCTTTTGTCATCCATCTCCTCGTGAAGCAACAAAGCTCTCACCACTCTACTTGTTTTACAAGAACCATCTTATCAAACCAAGAAACATGTGCTTTCGACTCAAATAGATTGATTAAGAACATCAAATCAGGAGTCAATCTATCTCTAAGCATGTGATATGTTTGACCGGTTTGACCCTAGCAGAACTGGGTCACATATGGGCCGAATTAACTTATAAAGACTTTTAAATTTACTTCTAGCCTAGTCCGGATCGGAATACAGGTACACTAGTCCCAGCCAGTTTTGGCACACCACAAACATCACTGGTTAATGTTCTCTTAATCAAGAAGGCAAATTCATAAATACAAAATCAATCCATTAAACTAACAGACCAACAATACATCTTTTTCTAGGTTTCTGGGACAGTTGTGGTGGGAAAATACACCAAGTCCGGTCCGACTCCAAAATAAGCTTGTCCAGAAAAAATCCAAAATTGAAGTCCGAGAAAAACTTAATATCAACAGTGTAACCCGAAAAAAATCGCCGGATTCTCAAAAAATCGTCGCTAACATCTTTAATGATATGTAAATCTGTATTTTTACGGGTTCCAGAAATTCGGCCTATGATTTCTCCTGTTCACCAAAAAAAAAGAAGACATAACTAATCAAAATATAAAAAAATTATGAGCAAAACATAAGCAATATCGGTTTTCTATCTTGATACTACTAATATTTTACTTCAATTGGTAACCATAATTTAGGAAAAGAACGAGAAAGTATGTGATATTCCTCTTTGTTCTTCAATTGGTAACAAATGCAGACGTCAGGCGAGAAGCCTTGCCCTAGGAGTGGGTTTGCGAGTGGCGTTTCCGGGGAAAACATATTGATATTTAGAGGTGAGACTGGGAGTGAAGCTCGCTCGGGTGGTCAAGTGTTCAGTGGGTTATATTCATTGGATACCAAGACCTTGAAATGGGAGAGGGTTGATAAGTTTAGTGCAAGAGTCAGTCCAAGTCCCCGGGGGTTGTGCGCATCAACAACTTCCTCCCTAGATCGCTATGAGGGGATGTTATTTTTTGGTGGGAAGACAGGCATTGACGGTATATCTGATGACTTTTTTCTTTTACCAAGTTGTTTCTACCTAGAGACATACTGATATTGATATCTCCTCTTTTATCTTGTTGAACTTTATTCTCTTGCTGTCTTTCTATTAAGTTCATGGTTTGTGTGTTTAAATACTTTGTGTGGTACTTGAGCTATTTGCATGCAATAAATATTCTCTTGTTTTATTTTAAAATCATATATATAAAAGTTGGTCAACTCTCTCCATATGAGTGCCACATCATCACACATAAAAATGACATGTGTCATTTTACATCATCTAAATTAAAATTTCCGAAAAGTAAATGAGGAAAATCAAAAGTCCTCCATTACATTAAATCTTCCATCATTCTACTCTTAATTATTTTTTTCAAAATAAATAAAAAAATATACAAAATCATGTTAATGTATCAAGCATTACTTTCATATATATAAAACTTGGCCAACTCTCTCCATATGAGTGCCACATCATCACATAAAAAATGACATGTGTCATTTTACATTATTTAAATAAAAAGATTAGCAAAATTAATTGAGAGAAAATCAAAAGTCTTTTGTTGTGTTAAATTCTCCATTAATCTCATTCTTAATTGACTTTTTTAAAGATGAATACCCAAGTTACGCGTGGATTTGTTTTGTAAATTGTTAAAAAAAAATGATGTTGATTATTTTTGTTGTGAATTTATATTTATTTTTTTGTTTGTTATTGTATAGTTAATAAAATTAGATCCGTTTTTTTTAAAAAATAAAAAAAATTAGATCCATCGTATTTGTCGTAAATTGGTTTTAAAAAGAAGAGAAAAGTAAAAGAGTAGAATTTGAGACTTAAGACAGATGTCAAATAGAGAGAGCTGTAGTTATTTGGAAAGTTACTTGTCTTAATAATTCAGTAAGCACATAATGACATAAATCGGCTTATCAGCTGCAATAATGAAGTGTGTAGCCATTGCGGAATTAATCTGTAATCATATCCTATGAAGTAACCCTTTCTTGTCTTGGAAGTAATGAAATTGACTAGTCCAAAACGAATTGTATCTGATTTATTGGGGGAGATCTTGTCATGGGCCTAATAAAAGGAAAATTTTATGGGCCGCTCTACATCCAGACCAACAAGAGTTTCGGATGATCTATGAGGAATTGGAATGTCTCATTATCATTCATTAATTCCAAGATAAGATTATGCAAGTATTCGACGTTTTGGTGGGGGTTTTAGAAGAGTTTTATAATAGGAAAGGATCCATGAGTTAGTCATGTGGTGTTACTGATGAGTACGATTTCTTCTGCATATAGGCATGCAAAGAAGAAGCAGGTTTTTGGGACACTAACTGCAAGGGCGGATAGTGTTTCAAACTCCCTGAGCACCTGAATAACATTCTGAATTGATTGAAGAGAATTATCAGTGAAGATAAGAAGGTTGTCTTCAAAACAAAGCTGAGTAAGCTTTGATTTCTGACATTAGTGGTGGTAGCTAAATTTTCATTCCTCAGCCGCCTTGTTCAAAATGTGTGATAGACAATTCAAAGAATGACAAAAAGATAGGGAGAGGATCCTCCTGTTTCAGACCTCTTTTGACCTTAAAGCAGAGCTTTAAATCATTCCATTGAATCCTATAGAAAATGATGGAGTGCATTTGCAACCCTGTAGCCACCTTAGATAGAGCTCTGGAACATCTAATCCCCTTAGACAGCTTAGAATGCATTCCCATTTGATCGTATCAAATGCTTTAGCAATGTCCACCTTAACTGTTATTCTTTTGGGGCCTAAACTCTTGTGATAACTATTCACCATCTCTGCTGCCAGAAGAGTATTCTCCAGTAAGAGTCTTCCTTGAACAAAACTGTTTGGTTGAGTAATATTAACTCTGGAAGTATACGCTTGAGTCGAGTCACTAATAGCTTTGATATAACCTTGTACTCTTGTAGACAGTATTACAACATGAGATAGGCATGTAGTCTTTGATTGCAGAAGCTCCTGGCTTCTTAAGAATCAGTGTTAGTATTACTATTACCTAAGCCAACAACTAATGCAAAAGCTAACGATTCTTTTAAAAATCAGGTCCTCGAGTGAAACAGAGCATTCATTCTAGTTTGCTTGTAAAACAAAACAAAAAGGCAAAATGTTACAACACTATGGGAAACAAAGCAGATAAAAGATTAGCAAAATATATGGTTGCAGCCAAAACTCAAATCCATTTTAGCTTCTCTTCAGCAACCAAAAAAAAAGAAGGCAAATTGTTATAAAACTAAACTCGTAGTTCTACTTCTTCTCCTTGACCTCGAGGAACCGGGACCAAACTGGGAAAACAGGTACAATGCGAAGGCCAAGGATCAACCACATAATCTATTCGAATTGTACTCAGCTTATTTTCCCTTACAACATAGATCCAAGCCTGTCCAGCTTTGTCACAAGAACACACGATGAGCGTTTTATCTTCGATGAAGTAACTTGGCCGAGAGTAGGGTCGGGACTGTACTAAATCAGGCAAGTTAGGACATGACATTTCCATAAACTTCATCCATTCCACATCTTTCCCATCCCGAGTAATCTTGTTCTTGGTCACCCAAATCTCAATCTTCTTTGTTTCATTGCATTGATCTAACACCGAAAACCGGTCTCCCCTAAAAACCGCAAGGACTTGAGTATCAAAACGACATATCTTCTTACATGGTAGATTACAAAAGAGCTCGAATCTCTTTTGCGAAAAATCCATGCATATGATGAACAAGTTCTTAAAGGCGATACAAGATGCAACCCAATACAAATTCCCATTCAAGGATACACTAGAGGATGCCCTAAGATTTGCACCCTTAGTAAAACCACGAATACTGCTGTAACAAGTGTTGGAGTTTTGTTCTTTCCACGCATTAGAAGCAAAGTTGAAGAATTTCCACACGTATTTGTAACTATATTGAGACGCAAAGATCTCGTAATCACAGTTTTCTGGTTTCCTATTGTCGTATCCTATGCCAGCAAAACACGTTAGAGTTTCTGTTGTATCAAGCTCGATCCATCTACTCTGTCTCAACCACGGGTTCCAAACAGTGGCTGTGGCTCCATTGTTCCAACAACAAAGCAATAAGCCATCACAATGATGGATTTTTCTAGGTGTCATCTCAGATTCTAAACCGTGGATATGATCTAAGGTTAAATCACACACCTCTATCTTTATTGCGTCACTGAGATTGACGCTTACCGAACATAACTTGGATTTGGTCGTTAAGATGAATTGAGGGTGGGCACGGGCACGAGCCAAGTGGTTGTCGATGAATCTCTTATCAACGATAAGAGTGTTCCATTGTTTGCAAGCAGTTCTGAAGCGAGCGAGAGATAAAGGAGGAAGCCGAGAGAGTATCTCCTCCTCCAACTCCATTGGAAGCTTCTCTTGCGCCTTTAGACGTTTCATTTTAACCCTAGCTTTCTGCGCGGTTCCCTAATAATAGCTAAGAATACATACACATACGTACACATAAAATTAAAGACTATTTATCGTAACCATGTTTAACCATTGTGATTTACAGAAACCATGTTAAACCATTTGTAATTCCTGGTTAAGTTTTATGCCTCCGGTTTGGACTTTTAATGGTTTTGAAAAAACTGTGGTTTAATTTCATCTTAGTAGTATTGGAATGCTGAATTAAGAAACTCACAATCTATAAAGAATAAGCCAAGTCTTATAACAAAGGCAAGGGAAAATTTAGTGTCTAAAGCAACGGTTTGGTGAAAGATATAAAAAACTCAGAACATGCATATGCATGGAGAAAATTTATCATGACTTGTAAGAATTAAGGTGTTGTTTATTCAATGAATTTTTTTTGTTAATTCATGCTGAGACAATGCAGTTCGTCAAATTGGTAGCACATGATAACATGTGGTGGAGCATAACAGCGAAAAAAACTCTTTTGTTGCAAGATCTAAACATAACCATTTTAAAAGTATCACTAAAGCATAGTATTATTATTTTTTTTTTTTTTGAATGAATGTAAAATTTATAACCCAAAAAAAGTCCTTTGTACAATAAATGCAACCTTAAATCAAATATTGTTTTGAAAGAAATCAACATAATAATTTAGAAGTCTAGTTCCTGGAATCGAACCATAGACGAAGTCCATCTTCGAGCTTGGCGGGATTCGAGAGACGGATGGATGATATTTTGTTGCGAATCAAGCGATCAAGAAACTTGATTAGTTGATCTGCAGCAGTTATCGGATCACCATGCCTGCGTTTGTTTCTTTCCAACCAAATGGTATGGATCGTTGCTTGGAACAAAAGCCGTAGAATAAAACCAAGAGTACCTTTGAATGTGGAATCAGACAAGAGAGACATGATCTCCAAAAAACAATTTGTGTAGCGTCTTCGAAGGAGTCTGCTTGCCAAATCCTCCCAGACCCGAGAAGAGTAGGCACAAGAAAAGAAGAGATGGTCACGTGTCTCCATCGGTGCTTGACAAAAAACACATGATGGATTCACTCCCATATTCCAGGCGATCATACACTCACCCGTGGTCAGTCTATTCTTTGCCGTAAGCCAAGTCAGGAAGGAGTGTTTCGGGATAGAATCCGAGAACCAAACACTCTTAACCCAACTTATTTTGTGACCATCTGTTCGAATCTGTAGCCAAGTTTCTGAAGTAATAAACCGAGGCTTGAACTTGTTGTCTGGTCTTCTCCACAAGGCTACGTCCGGGTCAGAACATTGTCCCCTGTTTCGAAGTCGTCCAAGTTCCAACTCTATCCGATTCAAATAATCCACACGGTGGTGCTTAGGTCTGTGGTTCGCAAGTGCTGCAGCCACAGTTGCATCCGATGAGATCCCTAGATCAATGAAACCCCTATCACCGAGAGTATCATATAGCCGACCTAGAGGACACCAATGATCATACCAAAAGGAAGTTTGTAGCCCACATTTAATTTGCATTGAGTGAAAACTCTTTGCTTGCGATCTGTACTTAAGCAATTTCCTCCACATCCACGAGCCCAAAGAAGTGGATTCTTTAATTGACCAAAAAGAACTAGACCGAAGTAGCTCTTTCTGTATCCAATTTACCCAAAGCGACTTTGAACTTGAAACAATTCTCCATATGAGCTTAAAACAACTGAGCTTATTCACCATATGAGCTTAAAGCATAGTATTATTTGACCCCACAAGAAGCGAAAACCAACAAACTTTTCGAAAGAATATTACTTGCGGATCAAAGCCGGGCCCCCGAGAGTTAACCTGAGTCCTTAAACATTCTCTCTAGATTTTTCATAAAAAAAAAAACATAATTAAGAATTTATTTTGCCAAAAGAAACTAGCAAAACAAAGAAAGGGAGATTTATCACTTAGCAAAAATCTATAGTTGCAACAAAGAAGATGGTTTGTGAATAAAAACACCGAAATCCAAATAAAATTTAGCTTCCTCAACAACCAAACAAGAAGACAAACTGTAAATAAAATCAAACTTGTAATTCTGCTGGTTCTTCTCTTTGAGCTAGAGGAACCGGTACCAAACTGGGAATAAAGGTACAGTGCGAAGGCCAAAGATCCACCACAGAATCTATTTGAGTTTTACTGATCAACTTATTCCCCCCCAAAACATAGATCCAAACCCGACCAGTTTCGTCACACGAGCACACGACAAGCCTTTTATCTCCAATAAAGTAACTTGGCTGAGAGTTGGATCCGTCTACTAAATCCGGCAAGTTAGGACTTGACAGTTCCATGAACTTTATCCATTCCACATCTTCACGATCAAGATTATTGTTAATCTTGTACTTGCTCACCCAAAGCTCAATCTTCTTTGTTGCATGGCATTGCTTTAACAATGAAAATCGATCTCCCTCGAAAACCCGAAGGACAAGAGCATCCTTATCAAAGTTCGTCGTCCCACATGGTAGATCACAAAATATCACAATGCTTTCGCTCGAAGAATTGATTTTAGTTAGGTGGTACACAAGATCAGTCTTTTCATAATAAGTAACCAAATACAAATTTCCATTCAACGATACACCAGTTTTTCTGTGTAATTTAACAGGTTTTACTTGCTGACTATTATCTCCAGACTCGCGGTCTTTCCACGCATCAGAGGCAAAGTCACGGATTGTCAACAATCTCTGGTTGGGGTTTTCCTTCCGATCACAAGCAGCGAAGATCTTGTAACTCCCCTTATTGTTGTATCCTAAGCCATATGACTCCCTCTTAGTGTGGTTTGAATCCTGGTCGATCCATCTACTATGTCTCAGCCACGGGTTCCAAACCACAGCTCCTTTCTCCATGTCACATAGCAACAACTCATTGCCATCAACCAAGCTTTTAAGTATCTGAGATTCTAGACCGGGAATATCTAAGGTTAACTCACACACCGCTATCTTGGGATCGATGCTTACCGAATAAATCTTGGATTTGGTTGCTAAGATGAATCGAAACGTCGTCTTGTGGTTGTTGATGAACGTCTTGTCGTCGAAGAGAGCGTTCCATTGTTTTGATACGGTTTTGAAGCGAAGAAGAGATTCTGGTGGGACACGAGAAAGTATCTCTTCAATTAACTCCCATGGAAGCGTCTCCTCATGAGCCATTAGGTTCTTTTGTTTTAAGTTGAAACTTTCAAATTGACTACTTAATTACTTATAAGCTTATCCCAATTAGGGTTTCAAGCCGATTGTTCATTAAGTAATATTTCCAAATATCTCGTTTGTGAATAAATAAACAACAAAATCTCCAAAATATCTAAATTTTACAAAATTCGTGTATATTATTATTCATTTTATTTTTATTTTCCTTTTAAAAATTCTGTTAGTTCACTTTTTATTTTCTAAAGTTTATTACGTAAAAAAATATCAAGTTTGAAATATAAAACTTGGCGAATCATCTATATATACATTTTTTTAGTATAAATATGAAATAATTTTTGGAGTTGCCACTTATTTACAAGAAAATGCCATTGTCATAAATTTTTATCTATTAATTAATATTACAAATTATTTTCGAAAATATTTTGAAAACCATGGCTTCCAAAGATGGTAACAAATTGATTTTATTTGTAAATTCGATTAATTGCTAATTTTCTAAAACCTCTCTACCTAAATTAAACATTAATATATGTTTCTTTTTCACTTTTATATAATTTTATATTTAATTTATTTTTAATTTATATAAAATACATATAATTGATAAAATAATAGATTTTTTTTTCTACATATGATGTGATTTTAAATTTAAAATTATTATGTATGAATTTATATCAACAAACATAGTTAAGAGCCTTTTAAAAAAATTTCAATCATACTTATATTTAAACAAATTATTTTATAAAAACATGTTCTGCCGCGTAGCGTGCGTTTTTACCTAATAGATATTTTTTTTTATTGTAATCTAAAGAAAGTTACTATTTATAATAAATGGAGTGTAAGTTAATATGCATCCTTAGTAATCTACGTTATATATCACAGATTCACCATTATTACCACCTATATATGATGTAAATTATTCAAACAATTACGTTAATTGTCTCATTTTAAAAAAAATCCTTTTATATTGTTAGGTTTTGATCTTTTGTGTAACTTTTCGTTCTACATTTTTTTTAATAAGTTGACAAAAAAATATGTTGTATGAAATCTCTAATTGGCGATAATTGTCATGTTCAATGTATAATGTAAGAATATAGTTTGTTTTGTAGACCTGCTAACATTGAAGATTTATATCGACCTGTCCAAACGTGGCAACTACACTAGTCGATATTATTGATCTAATTTGAGAAATATTTCATATACTGTACCTTACAGTTTTTACAAAATGACATAATTACCTTTAATTTATAACCAAAAAAAATCAGAAAATTAAAAATAATGTTTTCGGGCCTATAAAAAGCATAAAAGAAAGCCCAAAACAATATTAATCGAGACGGAGAGAAAAAGAAAAAAGGGGAAAACTTTGCATTCGATTGTGAGTTCTGATTTTTGTGTTATTTGTGCTTTTGATAATTGGAAAGCTGATCAGGCTCAGGGATGCCATCAACTCCGATCTCCCATGTTCTCCTCCGTCGTAAACGTCGTCTATTGGCACCGGATATCAAATTTTATCCATACGCTACTGGGTCAGTGATGTTACTTTTGTTTTAGTCTCTTCTTCCCTTTGATAATTTTTGACCCTTTCTTTTTTTTCCCTAGGAGGCCTTCGTCTGGGAAGAAAGACATGAAAGAAGAGGTTGTACGACTAGGAGTTGATCTCTCTCTCTCTGTAGCTGAGTCCATGTTCTTGCTCTCTGATGACATTCACACTTTGTTATGGTTCTGCTACAAGCTATGGAGATGTACAATACCGCACTGGGAACTCGTGTCAGAAAGGCTGCTTCGTGTTATTTATCACGTCTACTCAAAGGATATCAAACCCAAGAAGAATGCTGTGCATCAGAATGGTGCCAACTCGGCCCAGTTTCACTTGATCAGGGCCACTTGGAAGGATTTTTCTGACGGAATCATAGTTTTGCATCGCCTTGTTAAGGTTCTTAGAAGAAATGACTGGTCTTTCGATGACCCGCTATTATCCTCGGCCATTGCAAAATGCAAGCAAGTCCTTAAGAGGCTAGAGGACGAATTGAGGTCTGCAAAACATGTTTCTGAGTCGAATGGGTTTGCAAGGGAGATTGTCGAGTCCAACACTTCTGCCTTGTGGGAGTCTCTCTTTGATGAAGAAGCTGTTGACCTCTGGAAGTCTTCTCTCTTTGATGAAGAAGCCGGCGAAGAACCCGCCAATGAGATCAAGATTAGGATTCTTCGCGACCTCTTTCATCCTATTATGGGCGGCAACTCATGGCATGGCTATGCCAACCCAAAAGCTCCTTTGGGGCACATCCAGATGCAGAGCCTGCCTGTGTATTCTCCTTACATTCCGCCTGTGTATTCTCCTTACATTCTAGGGTCAGTAACCTTTTGAGAGTTTTTTCTTAACTCACTGCAAAGTCGTCTCTCACCACTTCTGCATTCTGTTGTTGTTGTTTTTGGCAGGAAGGACTTTGCAAAGCAGGAGCTGAAAGAGGAGGTTGTGCGACTAGGGGTTGAGCTCTCGCTACATGTGGCTGGATCAATGCTCTATTTGTGTGATGACATTCGTAGTATGTTACGCTTCTGCTACAAGTTTTTGGAAGATGCAAGAAAGGACCTGGCTCCTGATAGTCCCGTGATGAAAAGCCTGCTTGGTGTTATTCATTATGTCAACTCAAAGTACATCAAACCGAAGAATGGAGTGTGTCAGAATGGTGGCCATTCGGTCCAGTCGGTCACTTTGGAGAGTTTTGGTACTGGAATCAGAGATCTGGACCTCCTTGTTTCGATTCTCAGAAGCGGAGTAAGCTATTTGGATGCCCGAGAGTATACGTCTACTATTGAAGCAGCGCTGAAGGAGGTGGATGAGACATTGAGGTGTGCCAAGGATGTTTTAGAGGCGAATGGGTTTGCGAGGGACGCGATGGAGTCCAAGATTTTGGACTTGTGGAAGCCTCTCTTTGACAAAGAAACCGAGGAATCATGGAGTCTCAGTGCAGTGAGGCTTGGGATTTTTTCTGACCTGTTTCATCCTCTAGTGGAAGAAAAAAGCAGCAAAACATGAGCAAGGAAGGCTACTTGCTAGTTTCTTCTTGCTTCTCTATCTATCGGATTATAGTCTCTTTTTATGTTTATTTTTTAAGTTAAGATTTCCCCGACTATCCGAGCAACTCTTTTTATGTTTATTTTTTAAGTTTAATGATCAAAAAACAAATTGTATCAGCCAGCACACGAGAGGAAAGAGACCGGTTCAGGTTTTCAATATGCATACTAAAAGTAACCGAGTTGGTACCGTTACTCAGGAACATACTAAACCGGATTGGTTTATTACCAATTGCATACAGAACAAAGAGATGAGAATAGAGTGCGAGTCAAGAGAGTATTTCATCTGCTCAAGATACAACGTTATAGGACTTACATCGTCAAATTACAACCACCAAGACCAATCCCTGAACTAGTATACTATATAGTCACAACACAGCAATTCACAACGGAACAAGTTCCTAAGACTCAACTAGAGACTTCATCTCCCACTAAACCTTCTTCACACAGAGGCTTTCTCTTTCAGCACAACTCATCTCCTTCCCAGTTATCCTTCTCCTTTGGCCCCGTGTGACCTTCTTCTCCATAAAGATCAATGAGAAACAAATCAACAATGAAAACCCAACAAGCAAAGGAAGAAGATTCATGATCTTATTGATCTCAGACGCTGAATCATAAGCAATGGTCGGACCCCATTCTCTCATATGCTCTAACCAGCACAGCTCTTTTACCTCAATACTCAGCTGCTACACTCACATACCTTTTGCTTGAATCCAAAATATACTCAACTTTTCGCAACGTCGTTTCTCACTCCATTCCCGAGCCTTGGAGATACATTCCCGGGTGAGGGAAACTCGCATGTCCCGTGTTTAGATGAGTTCACAGCCAACTTGCAAAACAAGTTTTTTAAGTTCCATTACAAGTACATATTTTCTAATACCCACTGCAAGCAGTTAACTTAACGTTACTCACTGCATCAAACAAACATGTACCACTGTTGCAAAAGCAATTTTTATTTGGTTTAGACATCTGCCAAGAATTTCGATGAGTTAGAATCAGAAGTCATGAAAATGTTAAGGAACTTACGCTGCTGAAGTACCTAGCATCCTCTCTGTAACTCTTCAAAGGCACAGGAAACATACCTACACTGATGTTTGAGCTATGTTTGACGATCTTCATTGAGCAGTTTATTATCTCTGGCACCAATATGCATAAATCAGATATATTTGGCGAGTGAAATAAGCATTGGGAATGCTGCATTGCTAAGAAGATTGTAAGGTGTTTACATACTTGTCAGAGTATTTTCTATGTCTGCTAGCAAGTGTGCCAAAGAGGAGCAAACTTCTTATCCCAGCTTTCAACCGTATCAAGTACCCATCAGAAGAATAACACTCCAGTCAAAGCTCAAGGAGTCCAGAATTCTGATCATATCTCGACAGAAGGAACCGAGCAGAGGTGACAAAGCAGATGGCATATGGGACTTCACCTACAACACAAAACACCCTTAACAAAACAACCACAGTAGATAGTACAACATGAAGATGATAAATTACGTTTAATAATCAATGGCAAATTTTGATCACTCAGACATGCAAGAACAGTTCTGGAAACTTCGTGTATCTGCAATATAAACTGAAGAGGTGTGAGTTACTGAAAAGTATAGGCATTTGCAAATAATGTGGAGTGTCTTTTCCAATTCCAGTTCATCCCATCCATGGGTAGTCAAAGCCTGCTTCAGAATCATACCAGATAGGAATACTCATTGAGATCCAAAGAGCAAGATATATCTTTACATAAAGTTGTGAGCAGATGAAGAACAAGAAAACACTAAGAGAAAAGGATAACCTTGTCGACGAGACGATGTAATACTGACACCAAGGGTACTAGAATTTCTTTCGTGATACTCTCCAGCTGTTGTGGTACTGGCTCCTTTGCAAGTTTTGGTTGCAGGAAGTACTGCAAAGCAAACACACAAAAAATAAGCCACGCTCATTTTCATAGACCACACTGGACCAGGTTAAAAATAGAGGACTACCACTTCAAAATACACATGTTTTCAGATTTAGTTGAAGTAGGTAATACTCTTAAATATTGCAGCCAGAAGCAACGAAAGTTCACAACCAAATTAAGGGATGACCAACCATAATATGGTGGAAATCGGGATGCAGTAGAGGAGAGCTGATGGAAGAGAGAGATAGAAATCTAAAGCTCAGTACTTTCTCAATATATGTTTTTATAATTTTTCTTACGAAAGAGAATACCTGAAAAGGCTTTACAAGAGTGAGCAATACCATCCACAGATCTCTCACTTCTCAGGGGAATTTGGACTTGCGTGATTCGACTGGAGATAACTTATACAAATGTATGAAGAGGTGGTATTCAAGAGTAAATATAAGAAAGAAGCTCAGAATGTGTCAGGAAGTTAACAGTATCAAAATCATGTTATAAACGATCTAAACGCTATAAGTCAATCGTACAACAATTCTTAAGAAGACAATTCAACAGAGAAAATATATGCATAAAGTAAGCAGGTAAGTCACTTACCGAACTTCACTGGACTAAAAGCTAAATAACTTCATTAAGTTCATTGACAAGCCACTTGCGTTGCTGCACATATAAGATGAAAAGCTATTGTAAAATTGTTTGAGCTAGGCTCTAACATTACCACAAGGTACTTGGATAGACAAATAGGGGCAACGCGAAAAAACCTCGCTGAACCATGATCAGATCCTCTGCGGCCTTTTTTACTTAATCTACTCTCCCTAGCTGAAGCCACAATTGGAATTGCAATCTGGAAAGCAGAAACAACGACATGGTAAGTCAGTAAGTTTGGCATTCTTTTATATATTTATATATATACAGAAATACAAAAAGAGTAGCTTAAAGTTACAGCCAAGGTTTTTACCTGGTAAAGTTGTTCCCTTATCGCAAAGGCAGCAGCAGGCTTCAGAGAGAAAAAGAAACCAAAAAACGACTTGAAGCAAAGGTATGAAATTGAGGTTCACTTGTTTACATAATGAAATGTGAAAAAAATGAGTGGTTATTTTACTCCAACATCAGGATCTTCAACACCTAAAAGTTCTTGCAAATTCCTGAGGACCACTCTCAAAATAGTTTAGGTCCTGCAAATCAGCAATCAAGCTGCTTTCAGACTAATATAGTATACAAATCCTGGTTGAAATTGTTCAAAGATCACCAAGAATTCTCACCCACAAGAACTGATCCTTGATGAGGGTATGGTTTTAACTCGGAGATCAAGCTGAAAAAGAAAAGGAAAGATAGCTTATCAGCTTCTATAGAAATTCTTAATATTCCGGCAAATCACTGACGACCAAAAGAGAGGGGGATAAGAAGGATATTTTGTGTCATAAAACCTTGATTGTTATGGTTTTTACACCAGTGTACATGTCTTGTCCTTGATAAAGCAAGAAAATGCCAATGTAAGCAGAGGTTTCTGAAGGAACTATTACAATCCTTACAAAAACAGAACAGAACATAACTGAAGCAAGAATACATCACACACGCAGTCCTAGAGATACACGTCCCATAGTACACAATGCTATAAACAGGCCACTTATTAAATGCTAATCTCTATGAAAAGTAAAAGAACTAACAACCAAAGCAGAGCAGAAGAGAAACTTAAGAATGGTCAGTGTGATCTAGTTTAGAAACAACCTGAATAGATTGGGCAAACGCAGGGGGAAGTTTCAAGTTCTTTTGGCAAAGAAAACGACTTCATTATCCAAAACCAAAAACAAGAATCAGTGAATCATATACAACAAATGCTTCTATTGAAGATAATTTAAAGGGGTTTTGAGAGAAAAACCTGAAGGGTTCCAAGTGAAAGCATCTTTGTAACGCTGACCCTTGAATTGAATTATAAACGAATAAGCACTAAGTTGTCAGCAGCTCCGATTACAGGTGAACACATTTAGGACCCAAAACACATGAGAACTCGATTTCGATTTCAAACAAACAAAAAAAAGTAGAGGAGGAGACGAAAACTTACATCCTGAACTTGATGGGACCTTCTTCAATCTTCATCCTTAAACCCCACTTTGAGTTTTGAAGAGAGAGTCAGTGAGAGTGGGAATTTCAATTTCTCCATCTTTTCCGGCGTTAGTTTACTTTATGTCAGAGTCGCCCTTATATTCCACTGTCTTACACATTTGACCCCTAACTTTTTTTTTTGTATGTGAATAAGATTAAATCGATTTTTTTGGAGGAAATATCGAACTGGAGCAAACCCGGTCAAAAATGTCCTTAATTTTAACAAAACGCTGCCGTTTTATCGTATCTATACTAGTATAATCGTAGCACTTTTTGTGACGGGTGGATAAAAAAGCTTTCGGGTATATCGGATGTCCGATCCATTTTAAAAAATTTTTCACAAAAAATTTGTTGGGTCGGGTTATATTTAACCCAACTCATACACCGGATATTCTATATTTAATAATTTAGATTTTAGAAGATTTTATTAAGATTTATAATTATGATTCTCCTATCATCTTTGTTTGATTTGTTTTTAACTGTTTTGAATCATCATATAATACATAAAGTAAAAAAAAAAATCAATTTTTTTTTTCTGCATATACTGTGATTCGAAATTTTAAAAACGGACATATATTATCCAATTGACGAAAATGTGTGTTCAACGTTCTACATCGATTAAAATATTTAGACAATGATTCAGAATCATATCATAAATAAGAACATTAATAAAATAAATGAGTTTTTTGGCGGGATGGGTTTGACGGGACGGGTTTTTGAATCAACAATAATAAAAAGATTAAAATATCATTAATCCGCCGCTTCAATACGGATTTAATCCTTTTTTTTAAGACAAATCACATGACGGGTTAAGAAATTACGGAACGGGTTATATTTCGGAAATGATTTATATGGCGGACGAATTTGAATCAATATTTATATACCGCTTTAATACGGGTTAAATCCTCAGTTTATTAATAATTATCTCGTGGACTCGTGGTATACCGTTACTTAATAACAATTGTAAACTATAATATAAATAAATATGTTATAAGGAGATAAAATTTACAAAATATTTTTATACTAACTTTAAAATTAAATCATCCCGCGGTGTACCGCGGGTTAAAATCTAGTTGGTATGTAAATTAGCAACGGTCTTGGCTCTTGTCGGTTTAACTGGCTAGTTTTAATCTTTAATTTATACGGTTTATAAGACAAAAAAAATGAAAAAAAAAAATAGTTCTTGTTATAAATCTCGTGTATTCTCTTGATTAATGAATGAGTTTACAACTTATATATATACACAATAAGGGAGACAAATCTCAATTGGACTAGGAAACCCTAAAGCCCCCACTAAGACTAACATAAACCGTCATTGGGCGAATCTTCTAGAAGATAGACATGGGCCTTCTAGAACATGGACATGGGCCACGGTTATGGAGTCCATCCGTAATGTGGTTTACAACACTCCCCCTTGGATGACATAACCGTGTAGATGCCAAAGGATCTTTGTAATGCGCTTGGGGATGCTGCCTCATTAAAACCTTACCAGGAAAACCCATTGGGACAAAACCACGGTGAAGGAAAAAGAGTACAGCACGCATTACTCCCCCTGTTTTGGTCATCCCTACAAGTCCTTAAGTCTCTGCATTCCAATTTGATGCGTGAGCTTCCTTAATGTTGTTGTCGGTAGTGCTTTAGTGAAGAGATCGGCTGAGTTGTTGCTTGAACGAACTTGCACCACTTGAACTTCACCATCCTTTTGTAGGTCATGCGTGAAGAAGAACTTAGGTAGAATGTGCTTTGTCCGATCTCCCTTGATGTTGCCGTCCTTGAGCTGAGCGATACATGGCTACGTTGTCTTCACATATGATGGTCTTTGATGTTGTAGTAGCTGCGCCTTGAAGAAGGCTGCCTACGTACCCTTGGAAGGGATCAAGCCACACGTAGTTCCTATTTATTGACCATGCCATAATCTGATCTTACCTGCATCAGCAAAACAAACTAAACCAAGGCAAACTAGACCTTTTTTGGTTAGATCAATATAGAATAAACCCAAATAAACAAAGTAGGAAGAATAAACTTTAAAATTTAACCAAACCTTCCTTCAAACCTTTCCAGTGCCTTTGGGTTGATCATGAACTAAATTTAGACAAAGGAGGTTCACGGCAAAACATATGTCTGGTCTAGTGTGGCTAGCCAAGTACATTAACGCTCCTATGACACTGAGGTATGGCACTTCAGGACCGAGAACTTCTTCCTCGTCCTTCTTTGGACCAAATGGATCACTATCCAATCCAAGGCTTCTCACCACCATTGGGCCTGGTCAATGGGCGGACCTGGTCTTTATTAAATATCCTTGAGTACTTTTCAGTATATGCCTTTTGATGCATAAAGATTCCATTATTCATGTACTCAGGTTGTAATCTCAAACAGAACTTAATTATTGCCTAGGTCTTTCTTTTAGATATACTCAACTGTTTGGTCGATTACCCAGAGGTTTAAATTATTCATATACACTGCTATGATTACAAATCCTTTGTTTGCAAACCTCTTTATGAAAATACATGGACTAATGGGATCATTTATAACATTCCATACGCCCATTTGGTCTAAGTCCATGAAAGGATTTGTCCAGCCTTATGGAGTGATATTCTCGAGAATCTTTCTTATCTTTGAGCTCAATACCCTCTGGTAATCTCATATATTATCCAGTGGACTTATATAAATATGCAGGCATTACATCCATTAGCCGCAAATCAAATCTTTTCCTTTATATAGCCAGACTTAGCATCCACCACAGGGAAGTATGTTTCTTCATAATCTATCCCCGGTCTTTGTGAGAATCTTTGTGCTATAAGCCGTGCCTTATATCTCACGATTTCATTATTCTCATTTCTCTTCTTCACAAAGACCCATTTGTGTCCTACTGGTTTTTACATCGAATGGTGTCCTTAAGGTCGGACCAAACTCATTCCTTTTCTTAATGATTCTTAGCTCCACGTTTTATGGTCTTGTACCATTTAATCAATCAAGTCTTTGAGTGCACTCTAGTATAGACGTGGGCTCCTGATCCTCATTTATATTCATAAATTCAAGTGCTACCTTGTATGTAAATAAATCATCTTAGGTCGACATTCCTTATGGGTTCCATTATGTTCCAGACATGATATAATCAATTGAGATTAATTATTATTAGGACCTTTAACACTTTGCAGCTTGGCGTCCCAAGCTACATTGTTTGGTACATGTACCTTAGAGCCGACCGGCCTTATCTCCATGTCTGGGATGGTTTCCTTAATAACCTCGGTTCCTATTGCACATTTCTTTAATTTCCGAGGATTTTTTTTTATCATTGGAACCTTACTGGTCTACCACGTCTCATATGTTGTCTAGACTCTGTAGCAACTTGACTAAGTCCCTTTTGGACATCAATTCGTACTGGTGCATTACAAGCTGGTATGTACGATTTTGTAACTTTATTTTGGGTCAGCAAAGGAATCTGGCAATTGATTAGCTAGCTTTTCAAATGTATAATCTTATGGACCTCTGATTCTCATGTCAGAGTCCGAGGATCTTGCCAATTTAAGGATGTTTGATTCCATGATATTTCTTTTATTGCTTTACCCAGCTTGTTCGTCTCTCCACCTAAAGTAGGAAACTCGGATTCATTAAAATGACAATCCGCGTATCTAGCCTTAAATAGATCACCCGTAGTTGGCTCTAGATACTTAATAATGGTGGGAGAATCAAATCCAACATATATTCCCATCCTCCTTTGAGGTCCCATCTTTGTTCTATGTGGTGGAGCAATCGGTACATATACGGCACACCCGAAAGTCTTTAGATGGGATATGTCTGGCTCATGACCCATGAGTAATTGGGATGGTGAATATTTATGTTCACTAGATGGCCTTATGCGTATAAGCTCTGATGTATGTAAAACAGCATGTCCCCAAGCGGCTACTGGAAGCTTCGACCTCATGAGTAATGGTCGAGCTATCAATTGAATTCGTTTAATGAAGGATTCCGCTAATCCATTCTGTGTATGTACATGTGCCACGGGATGTTCCACACTTACCCCCATGGACATACAGTAGTCATTAAACGCTTGGGATGTTAATTCACCAGCATTATCTAGATGTATAGTCTTAAGCGGAAAATCTGGAAAGTGGGCTCTCAGTCTTATGATCTGGGTCATGCGGTATTTAAGACCGAATCATGCAATCGATTTTAGACTAGTCCATGCGGTATTTAAGACCGAACTATGCGACTATCTTGGCTATGCATCAATGAGGACCATGAAATATCTAAATGTCCCACATGGTGGGTGTATTGGTCCACATATATCCCCTTGTATCATTTCCAGAAAATTTAATGTCTCTTTATTTATCTTTGCCGGTGATGGCCTTATAATGAGTTTTCCTTGTGAACATGCTTCACACGTGAGATTCTTAGGGATAACTCTTTTCTCTTTTAGGGTGTGCCTCTTTGAATTTATCATAAGCTTACGCATCATACTATGACCCGGATGGCCAAGCCGGCCATGCCATAAAGTGAACTTTTCGTTGGACTCTTTCATTGCCATATTAGCTTCGATCATATCGATTTTAGCATAGTAGAGACCAGTGGATAATGCGGGTATAGTCTCTAGGACTTTCTTATGTCCTTTGGTGATCTCAATTATATTTAGGAATTCTTTGTTCCCTTCACCCTTTGTTTCAATATGGAAACCATTCAATCTTATTTCTTTGAAACTCAATAAGCTCCTCTTTGAGCTGGGTGAATATAAGGCATCGCTTAGTTCAAGATGCGTGCCATTTGGTGATAAGATATGGGCTTGACCGTAGCCCTCAATAAGACTAGCTATACCCGCTATGGTGCTAATATTGGCATTTTTCATTATGAAATTTAGGAAAATATCTCTTGTCTTTTAAAATTGTGTGGCTCCACTATCCACCACAAGTATGTTCTTGTCCTCGGCCATTTCTTATATGGACAAGAATCATGTTTTAAACATAAAGTAATATAAAATAAATTCAAGGAAATAACAATCAATGAACACATAAAATGCAAAGAAAACATAGAGGTTTTGATGTCGAAGTCAGATTTATCAACTTGATTCTTTTAGGCAATCAGGAGTTTCATACTCCATTAGATCATCTTGATCATGTTCACCATCTTTAT